CGTTATTGTAAATTTATATTGATAAAGTATTGTTTGATTTTTATATAACGAAGTTCAGTGAATAAAAAACAAAAGATCGGTAACATATTGATCAGTTCTCTTGATTTGTTTTGTGACTTTTTTTTCTTTCGCTCTTTCACCGTTGATCTAGATTTACTGAAGCGTCGCGCACTGATTTCACAGTATATACCCATGGAACATTTTATATCTTCTGAAGTTAAACCGTGTCATTGCTACTATCCTGACAAATATATTAACTCGTTTCATGCACGTATATGGAACTGTGAAATTGTGTAATTAAATCAAACAAAATTTATTATATGCTAAAATAATTATGAACAGAAAAATATAAGGTACAACTGTATACACAGTTGATATAAAATAAGAAAATTTAAATTTAAACAAGATAAGAAATATAGTTCCTCCATGTGCTAGATAATTTTTGAACCAAGTTTATCATCCAAGAGCGCCAGCGGAGCCCATGATAGTTCCGAACCCCAAAAATTCGTTCCTGGATGATTCGTGCATTATTTAAATTATCCTCGAGAAACTATCCATGCTAATTTGAAGATCGTACCTATAATAAAAATGTCATTTTTATTGAGATTACCTGAGTTATACCTGAACTTGATTTTATGGAGGGTTGTGCATAATAAAATAAGCACTTGTCATCAATACCTATGTGCTTCTATAAAATTTTGAAATTAAATAGGGGGTCAGACAATGTACCATTATGAACAATAACAATACTATTATTTTTATACCCACTACCATTAACAAAAATTTGAAAAACTCATTTACATTATTTTTGCAATATCGATAAATTCACAAACAATATAGCTGAGGATATTTCCAAATTTATGACTTCACGTTGGTCGCAAGACCATTCCCAGAAAATGCTAGAATATGTTGCACGCAAAGTTACGTGGTCAGGTGTATATCAGGTAGTCCATACCTGTCCGCACAATTTTCAGAAAAATTCGCTATTGTCAAAACGTAACTTTTATTGAAGTTACCTGAGTTATTTAAAATCCCTCATCTACGCTACGTCATTCATTTTATAGAGGTCTTTGGTCATAGATACGTATTCCCATATAACAATAAAAATAATTGTAGGTACCTTCACGAAACTAGAAATTCATTGATTTACACATTCATTCGATTAGGTATATCTACTCATTAGCCTATGGTGAATATATACGAGTATATAATTACGATGCCGGGTCAAAAAAGATGTCCAGTAAATATTTCGAAATTTCCCTTAACTAATATTGAATTTTATCTTCAAAACCATCATTGGGAGTCATCGACCTCGAAGAAACCCCCTCGAAGACGAAGAAAAAGGAAAGGAGGAATTAGAAGGGAAATCAAGCGACGAGGTAGAAAAAAACGAGTGAAGGAGGCGGACGAAGGAAAACTCGACATCAGAGGGGGGCAGTAGGGGGTAGGATGGAAGGAGGGTTGACGTCGCGAGGAGGATGGGGTGGTCGGATAGAGCGTCGCGGCGTTGTCCTCACACGTACCGGCGCTTTCTTAATCATCATCTGTCTATCTCTCGGCATTAGTCGGGAGGGGGTAGAGGGAGAAAGAATGAAAAGACGGAAGTGGGGTGGACGCGTGCAGAGGAGAATACTGGACCGAAAGATGGAAAGAGTGGCAGTGAAGGAGGAGAGAGACACTTCTTACTCCGCCCAGCATCCAAGATGGCGTTGCCAGCGGCTCCCCTCGTCATTAAAATCAATAATTAAAAAATACATCCGTGGCCACCTTCGCTTTTCTAGCGCCTCGTGACGCGTGCTCGGCACCAACCAAACCCCCACCAAAACCGACCGGTATATATACCTGTACAACGTTATATAGAAGGCGTATGCGCGGCAACAGGCCGACTGAGAACTACTGGGACCACTTCTTTTGCAGGGGAGTGGGGCAAAGGGAGGGGTGCAGAAAAGAGCGGCAGGGGGAGACTGATTCCTGGGGGATGGTGTGGTACCAGGCTGCACTGAGGACATTTACAGTGGATGGGTACCTTAGAAGGATACCTTGGCTTCTTGGATGGTGGTACCCTTCCATATAGGATCGTCATGTGTGACTATGTCGTGGATCACTTCACTGTTTTGTTATGAAATAAACGTGGATTGTATAGGAGAGCTTTTATTCTTAGAAATCTGGCAGAATATCCAAAATAGGGATGCTGGATCATATTTTAGACCGTATACTGTGATGGTGCGTAAATAGGACCATGATTCATTCTTTGGTAGCATCTATTACAGGAGGACCTCGATGAAATTTTACGAATGGTTAGTAATACATTTCATAACATAAAAATATCTTAAAGTACCACGTGTGATACATCAATTAATTGAAAGCTGAAAATTTCACGAAAACGACCATCTAAATGCCTCATTGATACAAGTGTCTAATACAAAGTGGCTCGTGGTCAATTATAGCGAACAGTGTTATACAACATATTAAAAATATTAATGTAACATTTATATAGCCACATAAGTGCCACTTTGCAATACTCTTATATCATCGTCAAACCGTCTGATATGCAACAATCTAAAATTTTTCTAATTTTCTAATGTAAATTTTTGTATTATCTCTCTCCTTATATTTATCAATACCTTAATCTTTATAAATATTTCTAAAAATTTATATTTTTGAGGAATTAATATTTCCTATGGTCAGCAGTGACTGGCGTAACAATGGCGGCCACTTCTTAACCCAGTGTCATACATATCCTCTTCATTTAAACCTAAAATGAAGAAAATTTCTTTTCTAAAACCTATTTATTATTCAATTTATACTTTTTCTTTAATTTTAGAATATTAAAGAAGAAGAATTTTAAAAGAACGGTCTAAAATTTAGAAAATTAAAATAATGGGAAATACAAAATTAAAATAAAATTGAACCTATCTCCGCGGTCCGTCGGGCTGAAAGTTTAAATAATTTTCCTGTTTTCCTCTCTTTCTAAAATATTTAATAACTTAAGCTTATGATTAGTTTCCTAAAATTACAGAAGATATCGTCTTGAAGTAGGTTATGCTATATGGAGTTGATTTCATTAAAATTTACTGGAGTGTAGTCATCATTTATTTGACGAATTTTCTATAATTGTAAAAATTATTATGGGTCACTAGAGATATTCTGTCATGGAACATTCTAATATATAATCATGAATTATTTATTAAATCGTATTTAGTATAGGAAAAAAAATTTTGTGCCAATAGCACAATCTAGAATCTAACATTTTTACATTTACAATACATGTTTCAATTATTTAATTTGTCAATTAGAAGCTTAATTTTGATTTAAGCTGTTTTGTTCTTCTATTTAAACCTTCATTCATTTTGTACTTTATTTAATTAGCCTAATTTTTTAAAAGATTTCTATTTTAATTTAACTGAAAACTTAATCCATTCCTCGATAAATTACTTGTTGAACAAATATAAATTATTTATGTTATCAAATTGATACTAATTTGATACGTACTTTTTAATAATCTAGATGACTTGTCAACTTTTAAGGTAGATATTTTAAGTTATAATTCACAATTTAGAATCATTTTATTACCAATCTTCCTATATCTATAATTTTGTGTATAAAACTTTCAAAACTATTTGCCCCTCGAACGGCGGATCATGGAGAGTGCTCCCATTTTAATTTAATTCTGCATTTACATGAATTTTCATTTTTAAATGTTCCTTCATTTATTGAATTAATATTGATTTAATCGATTAATTAATTAAATTAATCAATATCAAATTTCATTCTCAACGCTTACAGTTCAATATAAATAAAGAAAATTGAATTAGTCTAATACTGAAAAACTAATTTAATCTATCAATAATAGATCTCTAAATATAGACAACAGTTTAAACGCCGAAAATTCAATCAGCTAGCAAATACCCAAGTGTAGACAATATCGACCCCTGGTCCTCCAACAGCGCACCCCAAACGACCCCAAACAAAAGAGGCTCCCGACTTTCTTCGCCCTAAGACCTAAGACCATAACTACACATCCATAAAAGAATCGTCGTATTATGTCGCGTAGAGGAAGCAGCCCCGTGACAAGAGTACGGATTTCTTGAAAATCCTTGAAGCCTCGATTACAAATCCTTCAAGGACTATATAGTCCTGTGTGACGGTCACTAAAGGTACAGGTTGTCGAGCAGGTGTACTTTCTTCGGAAGGTAACGATATTTAGGGCATAGGTCTTAGGACGTAGCGCAGGACCCTCAGGTAGAAGGAAGAACCTTGCTGGGTCTAATCGCCACCGAGGATGGTAAATAGAGAAAGGACCATAAATGAACGACTACGATTCTTAACGGGTTTTTGAAGGATAATAAAAATACAAGTTTCTAATGATATACAGGGTGGGTTAATAAGAATTGCTATTTATGATACTTTTGAAAGCATTCACCTTACACTCTGCTTTGATATTGCCAACCCTCGGACGGCGGACCATGGAGAGAATTTTGTATTTCATATTATTTTCGTTATCTAAATTTTACACTGTTCCTTTGAAAGTGATACATTTAACTTTAAGTTAATATTCTTGTACATGTTTTGTATCACGATTAACCCAGGCTCTGCTGTTCAGAGGTGAACTACCATAACCATGACAATATCATATTCCAATAATATGATAATATAATCATGACAATTGTAGTATGATGCTCTCACGATATCGTGCAATAAATTATCAACGCTGAGCGTCCACTCACGCGGTATCGCGTGGTCAGTGGGCACCGCATCGGCATAACGGCACACAGCGAACGGCTGGCTGTTTCGTAGCTTACATGGATCGTGTAAGAAACGTGTCGGTGGCAGACCGGTGTCAGTTGGGCGCGTAGGAAAAGCGGTTGAATAGAATAAAAGAGAGGAGAAGAGGAGGGTCCGATGGGCTGGTACCCACCCGGTTGGAGGTGGCACAAGGAGGTGGGACTGTTCGCCTCGTTCTCCACTTTCAGTGGCAAGTCCGAAGAGGCAGTCACAACGCGACTGCTCTAAGAGCCAGGCCGCCCGTCGCCACTCGACCGTACACCAAGAAAAGGAGCACCAGTCTACCTACATGCGCACACACCTGTTCGTTACGGTGCACCCACACCGACAGTAGACGCGACGTGTCCACCACCTGCGGAATTCCACGCGTGCCACCACGCGTTTAACCATCTGTGATAAAAACGTACCATCGATCATGGTACAGCATTGAAGATACAGGACTGACTTGTGACGTGTGATACGTGCAACAGCTGTGTGAACTGAAGACACTTTTCTTCTTTTTCTTCTTTTTTTTTTTCATAGTGATTATGGATATGGTTGGGGATGATTTGGGTGGAGGGATGGTTGATCGGAGGTGCAGTTACACGTGTACCAGGACGAAGCATCGTGCTGATTGTTAAGGATTGCTCTTGTGAACAGTTTCGACAGATATTGAGATTGCTGCTGCTGAGTGGAGTTAAGGGTAGGTTTCATGTTTTCGTTGTGGACATACATGTTTGGGATTCGTGTGTTGATATATGGTATATTTTTCATTCGTGCTGTTTGAGGACGTTGATGATTCTTGTAGATTCATGCGTATACGGGAAAGACGGTGTTTCGTGTATAGGTGAACGATACTTACAAATATTTTTGACTCTTTATTGATATTTATGCTTCAATAATTTTTAATTAAAATCCAGAGATTATTGTAAAATTATTTCAATATTTGATTGTTTGAAGTTTCTATAATTTGCTTAACTTTTAGTAATTTTAAAGAATTTTAAATATAAATTTTTGCATCTTTTTTTATTTAAAAAAAGAAGAGTATTATTGTCTGTTGCAACAGTATAGTAACCATGGCCTCTTAAAATCTCAAATGAGTTTTGTATAATTGAATCAGCAATAATTTCTTTAAAAAATTTACTTTTCTTATTGTTACTTGTATCACTTCTTCTATCAAACCGGTGCGACGATATAAATCCGTTCTTCGAAAAAGGAGTGTAAGGGTTTTCAAGGGTGAAACTGGCAGTTTATCGGGTCGCGAAGTCGACAAGGGGTCGTAAGAGTATTTGGTGGTACTATATAAACCCACACCAACTTAAGGAACGCTTGTATACGTTGTAAAGGAGGGGAAACTATTTACAGTTCCTACCTACCTATGGTACCCCATTGCCATCCAACATCCTTCGAAAGGTCCTGAACTTGGAATTCACTCTTCATCATACCACCTCCGTCGGCTCTCTTCATTTCTCATCATCTTTATCATCTTTATAACACCTACTACTACCCGTAGATCTACCCGTTGATCATCATAAATATGTGAACAGTTTATAATTATCCAATAAACGGTGCTTTTGGAAGCATTTACCCTACACTCTATTTTAATAAGCAGATGTTAATGAAAATCACTTTATTAGAAATTACCCTAATCAATTTAAGTTCGTACGTGACGACGTTTTCCCGATACGATTTTCACTTTGGGACGAAATCTGCGACGGCACTTTTCTGACCCCCCAACTATGCACCCTTAGGTGCGAATGGTTTCAATCATAGCATTCTTTACTTAAGATAACTGTTTGCTATCGGGCATTTTTGTATTTATTTATTCCAATGCTTGAAATTTAACAAAATTCAGGGGTGTTGGTACGCGTATGAAACACATGAAAATCACTCTTTTATAGTGTGAACTATAGTATGCCCATAAGTACCATAAGTACTATAAGCCCACCTACAAAGATCCCCCCTCCCCCGCAGTGGATACACTGGGTCTTATGTACACCCAGTGTCAAAGAGTCAAATAACCATGATCGCCTATATCTCCACTTTTCATTCCTGAAATCATGAAAAAATCATCCGTACCATAATCCATCAGTCTTTAGCACTATTCCATGAAAAGCATAAGTCTTGAGCATCCTACGTCCCGAAGTACGACAGCAGTGTCGTCAGGAAACGCGAGGTTAGGGCAACAAGAAGGAACGCGTCTCCGTAGATTTCTGTCCGTGGAAAGGAAGGAAAGGGGTAGTTGGCGGTCTGCGAATGTTGGTTGGAGCGGCAGGACACAGTGGGGCAGGGGTGGTGGCAAGGTTTGCCTGCGGGGTGGTAAGGTGACGAAGAGGAGAAAGCAAGCAGATCGGTGGGTAGGAAGGGGTAGGTGGCCAGTGCGACGGGGAGGGGAGGGGAGTTGGAGCCGTGTGTATCGTGCGGGAAAAGAGAGACACGGAACACAGTCGGGAGAGGGTTTTAAGGAGCAGGAGGGGCGGGGATCTTAGGAGGGGCGCCTAACGTCACGGCGCATTCACTCACCGGCCGTCGCCGACGCCGCTGTGCCGCACACGCAACTCACACGATACGGTTAGTTTCCTCTTCCCAGTGTTCTGATTTTTACCATCCATCCCTCGATAGTGGTACACCATAGTGAATTATAATTGCGCGGGAAATTTGAATTCAAAAAGTGATCCTATCAAGGAAGGGACACCCGCGGGTGGTTTCTTACGTGTTTGGTTTAGTGTTTGAGATAGTGTGTGATCAAGTGACGAATCAGCTGATCGTTTAGGGGCGCCACACTCTAACCCGCGCTTTTTCTCTCTCTCTCTCTCTCCTCTCTCTGACATCCACGCGGTCCACCGGCTGTGTTTAGTTTTCCCGCCAACCGATCCATGCCCGATTTTTAGCCTCCCCCTTAGGGAAGGTCAATTTCCTTCAGACCTGTACGGTTTTTCGAAGTCGTAAGGGAGTAGATCTACGTTACTCGGTTTTATGGTGGTAATGGACGATACAGTGTCATGTTTGTGTCGCCCTGTGGAAATAGGCTGTGTATGCTACGCATTAGGTGATACTTGTTGACGGAAGTCGCTGCGGACAGTACACAACGGGCGATACGGTGTGTCTTTTGGGAAAGTCAGGACGCGAGGTAACAGATCGTAGACTTGTCCATTCACTGTGAATTTCAGTCAATTTCAATTCTCTTTTGCTTTTGATCTTGAGAAGTAAAGGTTTTGAAAAATCATTCTTCAGTGTCGTTATGAATCATCAAACGTCAGAGACGAACTTTTTAAGGATTGATCTTGATTTTGTAATAGAGGAATTTTAGTGGCAAACTAACGGGGGACACTAGATGACAAAACTTCATGAAAGTGTTTATGTTTGTACGATGATTGTAGGGTTATTTTAAAACGGTTATAGAAATATGGAATTCAAGCAACACGTGTGATATTTATTTTTAAATTTGTGTTTCTTGTCAACTTTATAATTATTTTGTTTTAATTAAGCAATAAAAATATGTATCGTACAAGTTAAAAATATAGAAGATATGTCCTATGTAATTTTATTTATTATTATAATGCAACAGGAAATGTCCAAAACTATTATTAAAATATTTCTTGTTATTTGCATATGAACGATAATAACGTTTGCATACTCTTAATATCATTGTATCGTAATTAAAAATGAGTGTACCTTATTTGGAGTTATAGTCATTCAAAGTATAAATCAAATGAGTACAGTGTAAATTTGTAGGTACCTACCTACTCAGGTTTTTTTTTTGAACGCGTGCGAGTTTGACAATAAAGTTTCAATGACACATCGCGAACTTTCCATCTTCATCAAATTATATATCAGTATAGACATATAATCAATGGTACAAATTAATTCTTGAATGATATTCAGTAGTCACTGCTATATTTTATTATGTTATTATGAAATTTTAGATTTCTACGGTATCAAAATAAAATTACTGTGACGTTTCGCCATTTTTTTAATTCTTTGCAAATTTGTATTAACACTTGAACCCCTGTGAGAATAATTTTAAAAGAATAGTATAAAATTTATGAAATGTAAATAATGTGAAATGCAAAATTAAAATTAGGGCTCTCTCCATGATCTTCTATCCGATGGTAATACACGTATATGAATAATAGCAAAAACTGATTTTTGCATGGTACCTAGATATTCACTACTATATTTTATGTGTTTCTGTAAAAATATTGCAAAATTGTACTAAAACTACGTTTTTAGATTTTGAAATTTTTAAATGAAAATCCAATGCTATATCACAATTGTTCCAAAATTTTTCAAATTTTTCATTTTTGCACCATACCTCAATATCTATTTTTAATATCGTAAAATATTTCACAAAATACTCCAAATTTCAATTCCTTGTATTTTTCTATACTTTCAAAATAAAATCCTGTGATATGTCACGATTTTCTTAATTTTTTATCGGTACACATTTATCAATAATGGCAAAACCTTAAATGATATTTAAATACCAATTTCCCTCCAAATCCCTTAATGTTTTTAAAATGAAAATTTTGAATATTAAAGTATCAATAGATAGCCAATTGAACATGAAAGGGTTAAAAATCCCCGTAGAAGGAATGTAGCTATTATTCGAGCATTTCCGGTGCTTTCCCTCGTCAACTTCTGTTTTCGAAACTTTGACGCTTCGTCCCATGGATGGTAGATTAATTTTCCTTCTATCCTCTATTTAACGAGACAGTCCTCGGATTTGACGAGTTTTATTGACGAATCAATGAAAGATACGCACACACAATGCGTGATCAAATTACGAATATTAAATTATGTTCAATAATATTAAATTTAGTTATCAAGTATATGTTTAATTGATAATACTGAATAATGATTTTAAGAACAAATACCTATTAACCTTTGAACTGTGGACCATGGAGAGAAAATATATATTAAAATTTATATATTTAACTTTAGGTTAATATCCTTGTACATCTTTTGCAATATACTAACAGCTTATTTTCTCAACTACCTCAAAATTGATGATTTCTGAGTTGTGTCATTATGCTTGCAAGTGATTAATAATTTAATAGTATTCATAATGATTTGATCACTCAGTTGATGATACTTTATTTCGATAAACGTTGACTGGATTTCGTAAACATCATCAAGGTTACACGATGAAATTTGAAAGAATTTTATATATGATCGAAGAAAGTGTTGGTATATGTTCTTATAATTAGAGACACGTGTGAAATTTGTTTGTATAGTGTCGTTCAAAATCAACTGACAATTTCTATCATGAATGCAGGATTTACTGAATGTGGTCGATTGTGGGTCAATCGTGACCCAAACTTACAAAACGTATAAATGTATAATTTTTAAACAAAGGAGTTTCATATAATTTTATGCAGGAACAATGTAAAATTGAGCGTGTTAAAAGTGTTCCAACAAAAGTCACGTATCTATTCTGAGAATATAATTAGGGAAACCAGAACCCAATATTCTAAGTATTATAATAATTTATTTGCAACGAAATTTCTATGGGCCAAGTAATGCGTCGGATATAAGGGATTAAGAAACGTTGGCCACCTCAGTAGAATCAAGCATGTCTGATTACCGTGTGCCGCAGTAGAAACAACGATCAACTGCCGTATCAGACACGGCTGAATCTACTGCGACGGTCAACGTGATTTAACACTCTGACTACTTAAAAATGACCACCTGTATGTACACTTACGAACAAAACGGACTTTCCTAGAAAAAATGATGCTGATCCTGTTTCTTTTTGGAGAAAATGACATTATAGGGAAGAAATTAATATCTTTGTATATGTTTTTTAAATTTCGGTCACGAGTGATCTAGGCTCCGTTGTTCAAGAGTTAATATTCAACAATCTTATAGCATAGGGTTGTGAACCATTGATACAGTAGAATCCAAATCCAAAATATTTTCCCCTTCTACAAAAAGTACCTCTTCTTGATATACGTATAATATTATTATACTAAGCTCCCATGAATTATTCTGGACTAATTTCAACAGTAGATGTACACATCTACAACAGAGAAGCACCCCGTAATTGACCTTGAACACCTTCGTCCTAATTCTCCCTGAAGAAATCTCTCTTTTTTCGTTGGTGATTGATTGTTTTGGATGTTTCTAGGAGAAGAGTGTCGTTCAAGATAGTGTCGAAGGGTCGAGATCGTTCAGGATACGTGGGTGTCCAGGTGGGTGCGTGCATGGAAGAAAGAAACGAGAGGAGGAGCTCGTGGTACGAAGGAGAAACAGGCGGAGCATCAAGGTGGCTCCGCTAACGGCACGTGCGGCGGTGAAAAAATGTCGAGCGCCGCGGACAGTCCTGATGGGATGGCTTTGCAGTCGCACTATTCCCTACGATGGAACAATCATCAGACTCACATACTGCAGGCATTCGAGGCGCTGTTACACGCAGAGATACTCGTCGACGTGACCCTGGTCTGCGCCGAAACCAGCCTCAGAGCGCACAAGGTCGTTCTTAGTGCTTGCAGGTATTATATCGTTCTTTTTCTACTGAAATTGTTAACTATTTTTCTACTGAGATTTCGTGACATAAAAGTATCTTGAAATATCACTTATGGCACGTCAAATTGAAGCTTAAAATTCACTGAAATATTTGGTAATACGATCTACCAGTGGGTCACCTTATTCTGATGTCCACTGAGATAGTTATCTAACGATTAACAATTATTAATATTTTTCATAGTAATTATAATTTATAAATAACTCATTGATGAAATTTATACCTATTACTGATTTTTTCATTCGACCTATATATTCTCCATTATCACAACCTATTGTGGATATATCAGACGATCAAGGTGTTTTGTTCTTTAACGTCCGTGTTTACCATCGTCTCTCTATTATGGGGACAATCTGTCGACATGCGGTTGAAGCTTTTTACCTACTTTTTCTTGAAACATGATCGAGAATGTAGAAGATATATCGGGTACTTTGATTTAACAAGGAACATTCACTACGATCAGTATTTCTTATCAATTCTACTTCCATTACTTCTGATTTTTACACTGTGTAAAATACAGAACAAAATTATGGTTCTGAAAAGAAAATTATTATATGCAGATTTTGTTCTTATGCTTCCTTTATATAAAAAATATTACAATGATAAATAATAATATTAATAAATTATAGACCTAGAAGGGAATAGAACTAGCAGATAGTTTTACCAAAACACAAAAATAAATCGCCATCTACTATTTTGATCAGTTTAATACACTCCATGAATACAGTTTTCGCATGTATAGTATTCAACTTCCTTTTTCCATACACCATAAAAATTATGCATACTTGCTTCTCGTTTTAAACACGGCTTGCGTGTTAGAAAATGGCCGAGTAAATCAGACGTAATTGTCTTATAAGAAATAAAAAGAACCTAAATAGAAGGATAACAGAAAACGATGCTTTAAAACGCATACTTTCACGATAACTCCGCTATTTTATTTCTCGCAATAGCACCTAAAGCAAAGCAACTAGAATAATTAAAAAAATTCATTTCGTGTGATTTGTCGATAAATAATTATATCATGATTTCTCCTTACCTCGTATCCCACAAATATACCATTACAACGAAACGTTTCTGTTGCAGTCCATTTTTCGAGAGGATATTTGCGGAGCACCCGTGCAAACATCCGGTGATCGTGCTGAAGGACTTCCCGGGCCACGAGGTGGCGGCGTTAATTGACTTCATGTACCGCGGCGAGGTGAGAGTGGGTCGCGAGGAGCTCCCAGGACTGATGAGAGCAGCAGAGAGTTTGCAAGTGCGTGGATTAGCGTCGTCGGAGCCAAGGCCGGCGTCCCCGCCGGACACCCCGACGGCGGACCTACTATTGGGAGAACCGTCGACACCGGAAGGTGCCCGACAGGGCAGCCCAGAGGAGGATGACAACGCGTCGGAGAGCACGGCGCCGCCAACGCGGGAGCCGTCATCGGTGACGACTACCGCCATATTCCACCCAGCGAGGGACCATCGCGACAGGCTACCGCACATGGGTCATTTGCACTTCGGGATGCGCGAGCTGCGAGAGAGCTGCGGTTCACCGCTGCTGCCACGGCGAAAACAGGCCCGACCCCGAAGGAGATCCGGGGAACTGGTACCGCAGGACCTGAGTCGACCCCACGCACCCCCGAGCCTGAGTCCACCCGCCAATGGATTGAATCTGAGCAGTGGTCAACAGCAACAACAACAACAACAACAACAGCAACACCATCAACAACAGCAGCCTCAAGAGGATATGGCGGAGAATCTCTCTATGAAGAGGTCCCTGTCACCGAGTGGAGCCGAACAACATCAAGTGAAAGCGGAGAGCAGCGAAACGGCGAGCAGTCCAAGGGCGTCTCCGCTGACGGGCACAAGTCTGCTGCACCCTGACGGGTCTCTCCAGGACATCCCGTCTGCAGCAGCAGCGGCGGCGGCGGCGGCGGCGGCGGCTGCTGCGACCGGCCTTCCGGCCATGTCAGCATTGTCGCTGACGCCGCCGCATCATCACAGCGAGTACCTGACGAGCTTGGGCCAGTTAGCGGCTCAGTGGTTACCAAACCACCCGCAGAACCAACTGCCTCCCCCACCTCAGGGCCACCATCAGCGAGAAGGCAGCCCCCACGGGCCCAACAGAACGCATCCCTACCAGCAACAGCAGCAACAACAACAACAGCAACAGGAGTCTCCGTTAGGGCCGCGACGCACCTCTGTCACAGCAATGTTCCCACTGGATGGCGTGGCATCTTTGGGTGGCGGACTGTTTCCCCATGCGGGTGCCCTGGACAGAGGATCCCTCTTGGCGGACTTGCACGACAGCTTTAAACCTGAAACCCTGCACGGTCTGTTCGGCGCGGCGGGTCTCGGTGGTCACCATCCGGGGAAAAAGCCGAAAAAGCACAGGGGCGACGGAGACTCGCCCCGCAGGTGGGGGGATCATGGTAGCAGGGGTCTACCGGTTGGAAGGCCCAAAGGCCAGCACAGTGCACCTAGAGGAGGACCTCCTAGATCGTGGACAAACGCGGAGCTCACTGAGGCGCTGCAGCACGTCTGGAACAAGAAGATGACCACGTCGCAGGCGAGCAGGATCTTCGGCATCCCATATAATAGCCTCCTCATGTACGTGCGAGGGAAGTACGGGAAGAGTCTGAAGTTGGAGCAATTGAGGAGGGACTGCACGGGCGCCACCACCGGGGAGGTGGTGATGAACTCGTTGAACAACAACGTAAAGGCTGTCCAGCCGCCCACGCAAATGACCCATCCCCTGACCGGCTTGCCTCCCCACCCAGGCGACGACGGAGGATTCCCTCACCACTCGTTGCTGGCCGGCAATTTGCCCCAGGGTTTCTTCCCTGACTTCGCGGCCGCCGCGTTCCCGGTGCCGGTTAGTATGGTGCATTTGCTACCCCCCAGCGAACAGAAGGCTTACGAGTCGCCTGCGAACCCCGGCGGTGGTGCCGCGGGCAGCGGCGATCTGTCCACCGGCCGGAGCAGTCGTTCGCCCTCACCCGTCGACCATCATCATCATCATCACGAGTCTCTACAGCCGCAGCCGCCCCAGTCGGCACCCGCGCTGCTCCAGCAAAACGGGTCGGACTAGAAGAGAACCCTAGGTGCTCGAAGAATACACTGAACAGAACACATCTAACCTAAACCCCCCCCCCGATTCGTTCTCTTCTCGCAAGACTGACTTTACGAAAGGGTACAACGCTTAAGCCGCACGCTGTCTACTCCTTTTTGTCCGTCAGCTAAAATATTGACGTCGCCTCCATGGTCCAGCTGCAAGATGAAGCTGCGCCCGCGGCCCAGACTACTCGTTATATTCATCACTATAAATAGTTCCTGCTACAAAAGAGCGATCATACCAAATAGTACAGTTTAACGGATGGAGAAAATTGCTCCGTTGCTTGAAAATGCCGCTGCAGACATCCCTCGTCGAGAAAGTGACGCTTCCGCTACACGAGGTAAGACTTGAACAATAGTTTAAATGTTCTGATACCGTGCGGAGACAGCAGGAATGGTTGTTGCTCGTTTATTTTACACTTTTTGCCGACATATTTTTGCGACATATATATATATATATATTGTTACACAGTTTATTAACGATGTTGCCGTATCTGACACTGACCAAATAGAATCACAGCTGCTGTCCCCGGTGACGGGTCGAAACGAGCTTCCAAGCTGATCTTTATTCATTTTTATGCGTCACTTTCGAGCGAGACGTTTGCGTTGCTCCCTGACGCGGATTTAAATGCCCGCCAATTATCATCGTTCGGAAATCGGGGGTTCCACATGCTAGATGACGGTCAGAGCTTGCCAGGATAGTTTGGTGTTTCTCGTTTTCACAGTCGGCCGTTTCTGGCCATAGGGGCGAGCATTGGCCTAATTAGGGGACAGGGTGGGATTGAATACCAGAAAAATGAGGGGTGACCTTCTCACTATTCTAAAAAATTTAGCTGGCACATCTCATCCGAAAGTCCTAGTTTCGCTAATGTGTTTGATATTCATCCCCCATGATCATTTTCTAATTTTCTTTTTCTGCATTATCTTGACCAGCTCCGCGCGTCATCTCGCTGAAAAGAAGAGACAAATGAATTTTAATCGTAGACCAGAATTTCGCAAACAATATTTCGACAGACGGAAGCGCAGGGTAACTAACACATCAGGGATAGCCACAGACAAATCTACGAGCTAACGTATTAAACTTGTAAAGGTAAATGATGAACAAAAAAGAAAAAAAAAAAAATGATGAAAAATGAAAAAAATTAACGTAAATCTATAATAACGAGATACACAGAGTGGCGAGGAAACCGACACTAATGGAAACGGTTCAATTCCGGTTGATGTCATAACCTTGCTGCAATTAGCGAGAGCGAGATTAAAATATATTATTATTTAAAGAAATAATTAGAGTGTAACGAATGAGTGGAGAGTGGATGGGTAAGAAGAAGGGGTTTAAGTAAATATTAGAGAGACCACAGGCTTTCAGCCCCCAAAATAGCCTGTACAATACAAACTGATATTATTGATTATTAATATTATATATATATATATATAAATATTATATATACAGGGTGTTTCAAAAGAGTTTATAACTACTTCGATGGGTCATACCGCATGTTCAGTACTGTATATTTGTATTATTTATTGTTTTTTATTAAGAATTGACAATAGCTTGTTTCAAACTAGTTGAATTTTTTGGGGAGTGTTTGTTCATTTAATAATTTTATAAAAATTTTTATTTTTAATTTATTTTTATTTTTTAATTAATTAATCAATTGCATTAAATTCATGGTGTCCGATTTTAACGCGATTAGAATACCTTGATAACTTACGTTGTACAGTGTCGAACATGGAATTTCCAAGGGAAAATGATGATCTTTGCACATGACTATGGGGGCATTTACCTGTATCCATGAGGGTAGATCTAACTTCTCTCATACATCGTCATTAATTCAAAAATAAGTTTTATAAAAAACAAACTGACCATTACGGTACGATCGCATCGAGAATGGTTTTAACAATTTTTTATCCACTCTGTTGACGAGAAGAAGGAGCGAGATAATCTAGATGAATGTGTGTGAGAAAATCTTTTTTTCTCTAAAAAAGAAAAGAAAGAAGTGTACGTGCGAATGGTTGGTATGCCCGATGCGAAAGAGACTACGTAATAGACATAATGTGATAGGCACCATGTGCAGACTTCAGTATTATTTTGCAGTTAAAACGGGGTAAAAAAGAAACAAAACAAAAAATACGAAGTGGATCTGTACGTTAGTTAGAAAACTTACGCCTGTTTCGTTGTTCGTAAGCGATTATTTTTAGGAACCACACCCCTGATCGCGAAAACACACTCGACCAATCCACTCGGGGTCATACGAGCCTAGGGATACTTGTTCGGCTCACAAGATACCGGATGTATGGTTGGCCGTGCGAAAGAGTGAGACTCAGATATGCTTGTGTGAAAGGATACACACGTCTACTCGCATAATCACACACGCACACTGAGATTAATTATCATTGCCACATAGGTTGTAGGTAGAAAGAAATGAAGAGGTGCGTGTCGATTGGTCACTTTATTACTCGAGAAATATTGTGTGGGTTGGTCCAAAAATAATGAGATCATTAAGAAAAATTTTGATTTGAAATACTTAAATTAATGTAGAATGAAAATTAATACATTCATTAATTTTTTTAATTCAAAATTCATTTTCATCAAGTTATGGCAACTTCAGTTATTTAAATAATCAATCAATCATCGCATTTTTTATATCTCTGCAATAGAATTTCCATTATTTTTGGACCAAATCGCATAAGAATATGATTGCACGTAGTACAAGTTAGTTGAATTATTGAAGGGATCGTGTAACCGTTGAAGGGTTGGTCGGTAATAATTAATTCGTTGTTAGTGATGTTGGACGAAATGGCGGCGGGAGGGAGGATACGAAAGGTTGTATTCGAATGGTGGTAGAAGAAACAGAAAATCGGACATTTGTGATTTGTCGTGTTGTTACTGATTTCTTACTTGGGTCGCTATTATTATTACTGTAGTATGATTATTATTATTATCGTTCTTTGTGTTACAATTATTATCTAATATTATTAATTAATGAATTGATCGGAAGCGATCGATTGACTCGCGCCACTTATGGTCGCCTCGTTTCAAATGCGACATATCATTAGCTCTATCGTTAATTTTTCTTTTCTTTAAATAAATAATGTGCACGTTTTCAACACTTTGACTGGCGTGAAAATGGCATTAAATCAAAAACGCGAAACCGCGTGCTTCATCGCCAGTATTTAAAGGTGGCACACAACGACTGACTAGTTTTTCTTCAATTTTCCAAAGTCCACCGTACCTTTCTAAAACTATAAAATTCATATGTCTAAGGGGGTAGATCTATGATCTATTGCCTTTGGCAGAAACCTGTTAGGGAATAATCTTCAATTGAATATACTTTTGAGTCGGTGATGACTGATTGGTGGTGAAGTTTACATGGCGGCGGTCAAAGTGTTGAGAAGACGAGTGAAATGGTGCGTTAAAAGATAAGGTGTTTCGAGAACTATGCAGAAAAATCATCATCAAATTCAAAGTCATTTTTGTGAAATAAAAATTAAAGGATTAGTATCACTTTGAGCTTAGAGTATCAATATTGTCAATTTGAGGGTAGAATTTGTGATATTTTAAGAGTTGTTTTAAGAAGCATCTCTAAACAGTGATAAAACTTGACTGCTTATAATTATTTAAGAGAAATCATTCATTTATTTTTTTAGTTTTTATAAAAATAAGCATTGTCAGTATCAAATATTCAATAAATTGGCGGCCATCAGAAGGCTAGAATTCAAAATTCAGCGAAAGTCTTGCAACTTTTGCAAATTATAAACATGAAAACAGTATTTAAATTATTGACTTATCATCGATAAGAACAATAGCCAAATGTGTTTTCTATGTATATGTGGAAGGATAAGTTAATTCCTAATTGGATCAACTAAGTATTTAGTTTTCCAAGCTATTGCTCCATATTTCTGATTTTACTTCAACAACCACTCAAAATGAATAATAGAAAAAGAAACAAATTTCTAGAAATACCTTATACTTTTATCTTACAACTCCACAAAAACCATTTCACTCAATTAATGAATTTTTATCGCGATAATCTTTCGTACAACGTTACTCGTTATCCCCTTAGTCCTTAAGTAGGAATTATCACCCTTACTATTGTTATCATGATTACCCTGATCATTCTCATTTTTATTATGGTCGTCAATCGTTATCATTACATCCACAATTAAACGAATACACACATCGTTAATTAACCATGCTATATTGTATACACTGTTAAACACTGATTATACATAACTTCTACGTATACAGTAAATGTATAGTCTGAGGCAATGAGGTTTCCTTGAATTAAAAAGTCAGATTTTCCAACGTAAACAGACAAAACCCCAAACAATTATACAAACTCCATCATGGGTTTCTAATGCTACAGAATAGGGTGGTAAATATACGGTCTATGCCAGGACCTAAAATTTCTTTCACAAAGCGTAGATCTACCCCCTTAGGTGACAACGTGTGAACACACAGAGTCGAAGATAATTTTTCTCTTTGAATTTTTCCCAAGCACATAGAATTCTTCAAAAGAAGCCTCATTGCTACGAAATGTACATCCAATGGCAGAAACATAGAACAGAGATACATACTTTGATTTTCTGGGACTCCGTAACCGAAGTCACCATCTTAAGTTCCTACAGTGCGAGGATGAAAATAAGTACAGGAAAAGGGAAAAAACCGAACAAGAATGAGAAAAAGTATTATTGTTGAGAGTGAGCGTAAGAGAGAAAGAATTGAAAGCGCGAGCATATACGATATCGCCCGGAAGAAATAATTATTTTTAATTTACGTGGAAGCTGAATACACTTGTACATAGGATCCAAAAGAGCGAGCAGTCGATTATTTATACGTAATATACATACATACCAAATATATATGTATATACATATATATTTCACGCGAGCATTGTTCTTCGGATACAACCTTCAAAATTGTAAGAAACTGCGTGAATGAGAGAGGAATGTACGAAGAGAGTGTAAGCGAGTGTGAGGAGAGAATGAGTACATAAAACACGCGGTTTCTTTGTCGTGCAATATGTAATGTGGGAAGTTTGAGAAAGTTTCCGAGTTCCGTGTATCGGGTGCAAAAGTGTATCGGGGGTGCGAGTTACCGGTATTAGATGGCGTTCTGCTACCGATGGTCGGTAGTCATACCCATTGTCGGTTAAACAGATTTATTCAGTTCTTTTGAACCTAGTTTTTCGCGGCTTTTCACTCGACACGGACGAGGAGCATTTCCATCGGTCACATTTTTTTTTTGACCGGGTTCCAATGGTCGTGACATAGAAACCGTCAAATTCAACTGTATAAAAGCGACAGAGATGAAACCAGGAAAAACAGATGAAATAGTTACTGCATCGGTTGTGCTGTCACGTAGTTCCTAAATCGCCCTAGCCTCGCCCCGAGCGCACGAGAGAAAAATAAACTGAATTTCAATGCTGTTGCAATTCGTGGTACGGTAAACGCTGCGACTTCGATGCTCTTGGTTGAAGGAATATAATTCATTATCTTTAGTAATATTATTAACACTATTATTCCTGATACAGTACAGAGCATGGAGCTACCTAGGGAAAAAATGTGATTTAGTGAAGGAGAGCACATTAAAATTACAAGTTTGCTGATATTAATTTAGAAAAAAATCAATGTAATTTCAACATTTTTTAAATTGACAAATTTCAAAATTGTAATTACAAAGTTCTGAGATCCGAATTTTAAAATTTCCAAAAATATGAATTCAAATTTTCCTGCATAAACATTTACATGCTATTGGTAGTTCCCCTCCTCCTTTTCAATGTAATATTTCCTAGGCAAATCTCCCATTCTCAGAACTGTACCTAATACTAATATCCATCTTAACAAAACAGAGAATTTTTTTTTAAACGCTGCGCTGAATTTAATCCTACAGAGTTATATCCATCGTTATTTAGTTATCTCATCCTTTAATTTTCTACTAAATATAAAATATATTGCGACAGGATTAAAATCGTGGAGACCAAGAATTTTATGAACTAGTTTCACGCAGTGTTTAAGAAAGAAAGTAATTTATTTCACCGATAATACCAGAGCAAGGGGACAAGTTTCGAATTTGAAACTAATGTGGCGATATACGGAATAATGGAGTTAGGGTTCCATAACGGTGCTTAGCCGTATTTACCGTACAACGAAAAGAAGAAATAGAACGATAACCGGTTGTTAATTCTACTTCCGGTTTTGTACGATACACCCAATAAAACGATCGAAAGCGCACATTGCAGAAATATAATATAACGATATATTTATACGAATTACAATTGTACCATAATGATTATAATACTACTTATTATATTATACAGAGCCGCCGCCACCCAGTATATTTTTTACAGGTTTACATTGTATTACAGTTTATAAAAGTTTGATATACAATAACAATTACCTAAGGCGCATTGCCATGGTGTCGCGTGGGCCTAATAACTATAGGTAGAACTGCAAAAAACATCATGGACAATGCGCCACTCTATAACTACAATAACTTCCGAGTGTTTGAGAACCGATGTATTTCGAGAAACCATAAGGTAATGGCGAGCAGAAAGACTTTTCTTTCGTGCCGAACATATAGATATTTTATATGTATACACAAACAATATATATATATGTATAAATATAAATATATGTATACAGAATGCGTGCAGCGCATTTCACGCACAACGAGACTCTTTATAAATAGGATGGATTATGCGATCAGTCGAGTACAATTTAATTAGTATTGATCCGCCAAACGATAGAAATAGAAACGGAAGGGGGTTGTGTACTGTTGCTGTGACCGTTGCCTTGCGACCAGCAATAGACTTGCACATTTTCTTTTCATTTTTTTCTTTTTAATTTATATTTAACACTTTGATGGTTTTATATTTTATGCAGCTTTATGTACATTCCTTATCGGGAGATTATTAACCCTTTAGGTATACATACGCTGTGTCTTGCCATGCTTAGGATTGTACATAATATTAAATAAATGCTTCTGCACATAAATTGATAATTCTCCAAAAAAAAAATTAATATAATTTCTAATTATTAAATGTTATAAAATTATATTTCCTAGTAATACCAACTTCATTAGAGCCTGAAGAGTTAACAGCAAAACATACAAGTACACCTTCCAATAAAAGCAACCATGATGAAAGGGTTAATATAATTACACATTCTTGATAGTTTCATTATGAATTTTGAGCCATCGAAGTGTTAAAAGGAAGCAGAGATTGTTCGTCGTTCGTTGATATTAATTAATAAATGAATTGAAGAGTACGAAATAGACCTCGGTTCTCAAACTCTCGTGCCGACAATGCATTGAATAAATGCTGCATAACTTGTGATACGTTTACCACTGGTTACTACAGAGACTTCCTAGCCGGTCCTACGACAGGATCGGCGCCACTAGTTCACTCACGCACACGATTCAACGTTTATACCGATTTATTACGGATTTATTGATTACGTACGATAAATTAAATTAGATGATGTACTTAAACGAACAGAAAAAAAAGAAACGGTCATTGTGAAAGGCGCGAAGAAAACGGTGTGATGCGCACACGAGGCTAGGACGAGGCTAGCTACCTAAATCCCACGTTCACTCTTCGGACTAAAAAGAAAACGATACATACGTACACACATACACAGACATACACACACGACCCAATCGTATTCACCCGCCCTGATAATGAGAATTACTATATTAACCCCAATAAAAACTGTACATACAATTGCAACGTTCATGGTGTTGTTTCTTCATACCTTCAGCATTCCTCATCACCTAGGACCATCTACACTATTGTCCATAAATCTTAGGACAGAAATTCTAAATTTTGAAAATTCCGAAATTCGGAAATCCTAATGATTACGTATAGATAACAGCCTGTCCAAACGGTGCCACGAAATTTGCCCCAAGATAAGCCTGAGGGGCAATAATAATGATCCCCAGGGTTCATGTCGTGTCTTCCTTTGCCCTATGATAGGCCATAACTCGCGAGGAAAATCATCAGCCAATAATCCGATACGTAGTCGATAAAGCTCTCAAAAGCGGAGATAATTTGAAGTTGGTCAAACCTACCGCACTCCGATCCCTATCCAAAGGCTCGTTTATCCACGTAGCTGCCGGCAACCGGCTGTCACCCGGATTGATGAGTAGTCGAAAGTTCCGAAACAATTATTGTTATTCTGATTACATAATAAGCCGAACGTTAACGTGGGTCGGTTGGCTGTTCTTGTGGGAAGAAGATGGTGCTGTACGCGCAACAGAGGTACGAATGGGACCAAAGGAGAAGGCAGAGTATCCGAAGCATAATTCCAAGGGCCAGTTCCGCGAATTCGCGTAATCGATTCCGTCATGTCGCGGACCACCCGGACACGGTCCTAATAAATAAGTAATACGTTGGTTCGACCGAAACATCAGGATTCCGGGAGGGGCCACGAGATGCACTGAAACAATGCCTGTAAATTATAAAAGAATTTTTTTTTTTTCTTATATCAGTTCGATTTCGCATCAACTGCGAGTCTCATTAGTGACAATCGTAGAGAGAAATTTGAAAATTTTAGGCTGGTGCAATGTTTCAGGCTACGATTGTCTTCCGCTATTTTACTTCTCTTCCTTTTTATTGCCATTTCGCTTCTGTACGACGCGTTATGGCGTCGTGTCAAAGCAATAGTCATCTCCACAGTAATTATCCTTTTAACACCTCACTCTAACAGCCTTAAGATTGGCACGTGTAATTAATCACTTGGACGTTACATTGAGATCGGTTATTTTAAACGTGAACATCTAGAGCACGAATAAATGATTTATTTTAGATTTATTTGTTACTAAAAATTATCGTTGCTATTAATGGTACTTATTTTAATTAAAATAAACAATTAAACGGTATTTTGTATTAGAAACGTTTTCAGAAATAATAGCTAAAATTTTTAATAAACTATCATTATAGTCTTATAAATATTTAAATGAATTAATTTGTACTGAATATTCTGCATAAAATCAATACAACTAGAATAAATGTATTATTAAAATAATACTTGTTTGATGGCACTTGAACTCATTGCAGATTTCCTATAGAACGTTCTTCATCTATTTTTACTTTTTGCCATAAAAAAGAATTATCATCAGAAGTTATGATCCATCAACTCTTTTATAATTTAATTATTAATTATTAAATCTCAGTCAAACTAATAAAGAGCAATGTTTGAGCAATTGGTGCATTTTCTAAATTCTATGCGGGGCTTAGTTCTTTGATGATTTTACGAGCGTAATTAAAATTGTTCGTTGATTCAGAATACAGTGGAAGGCTTGGAAGATGAAATACAGCTTTTAGTGAGAAATGTGACATCGTACGCGCATGAATTCACGCGAATTTCTACGCTCTTTGTAACACTGCTCTCAAACTATTTTGAAAGGACCTATAAATACATACATAGTGAGAGCAATAGGCGACTAGTGTACACTCGCGATCAAATCAGGCTTCCCCAGGGAAAATGCTGATGTTCCGGCTTCCCATCTTTCCCCTTAGGCGGTTCCGACGAGAATAACGATGTAGGGGAGAAGGCCCCATATGTATACATATACTTCTATAGCGGACCACCACCTGCGTATAAACGTTCAATTTTAATCTTCATTTGCGAAATTAATATTTTATATATACGATTTTATTTATTTTAAAAAATTAGCTTCTTTAATTCGGCAACAAAAATGTTATTGATAATATTAATTAAATCACGGAAGAAGATCCTATTGTACCCCTTAATTAATAATTTTCATGAATGCAATATTGTCGGGAATTGAAGACCCTAAAGCAGTTATATAATAATACAAAATATGTACACATATTTCAGAACCTTTATGAGAGAGTATTAAAAGAGAGATAGGTATGTTAAACTGTAATGAAAAGTTTTAATTAAATGCCGCTTAATTTTTTGAGAAGTACCTCCCGGTACGAACTTTTGGAAAGTTTAAAATTACAAAATAATTCGTATGAATTCATACTGATATCTGTGGATTGTTTCAGTAATGTATGACATTCTTCTACTTCAGTTCCACTCTGTATTTAATCAAAGCTGCAGTTAAAGTTCGACAACACGGTACAACAAAAATAATTAGGTAAATAACAATAATTATGTTGCATACAAATCTATTATGTTACATAAAAATCAATAATTTTTAGTTATTTAGGTACATATACATCAATATGTACACTCAGTCGTGTGGTCTATAAAATTTCCCTAATAATATCAATTCAATTGAGCAACAGGTTCCAGATCCCCGAAAAAAAGGAAAAAGGGAAGAAAGTAACCTGCCCTCAAGTTTCACGGAAACGTGCTAATCGAGCGAAATGAATTTAGGAGAAGAAATTTATTAGGTTCCTTTTTTACGGTACACCATCAAAGGTGTAGGTATAGGTGTGCTGCTCTGCACGCTCCAAATAAGATCTCAGGTTGCCAGTGTGACATCTGAGTAGTCCGAAAGGGACCTCACGTGGCCAGGTGAGATTTTCTTGCACGGTTATACGGTAACACTTGGACCGCGTAACACTTGGAAGGTGTCGGCAGGGTCCTCTCGGCCAGGGTCACTATCACCCTGAACACCTGAGAGTAGGTCTTCGCGAAGGAGAGAGAGATAAAAGAAAAGTTACCTGTAAACTCGATACTCAACTGGGATCATCGGAACCTGACATTCGAGGCTCCATCGTGGACTCGTTGGGAACAGAAACGACCCAAGTGAACCGAGTCTTGTCAAAGTTAAGAGTGTGGTGTAGCTCTTTTTCGCCTACCCTCCTAACGTTATTTGTTCCAATAAATTGCGGCTAACCTCACAGTCTGAGGTATAGTGTTCATCTCTCATTTCTCTACCTATCGTAAAGTGATAAAAAAAAAAGAAATTTCAATGGAAAGAAAAGCTAATAGGAAATAAAAAAAATTTTCGGTAGAAAAATGTAGAGATATGCAAATATTTTAAAATTTTAATTTGACTTTTTCATTTTTATAGCAAAATAGAAAAATAAGAAAACAACGACACGAAATATCTACCACATATCTCTTGGACCTGTTCACAAAATAAGAATTAAAAAAGTGAACGGCAATTAACGTGGTTGAAAAAAAAAAAAATAGATGTATTCTTAGAAATGAGATTACACGGCCAATTAATGGGAAGTCATGTTTGTAACATTGTAGGCCCTCGTGTAAATTTCAGAGAAGATTAATTGGATGCGATATAATTAAGGTGCAACTTGTTTATGAGATTGGCTACAAGAAGCAAAAATACTTTACTTCGTTTCCGGCGTGAATTAAACTGTGACAAGTTTTTACTCAACATGTGGCTGAAGAATTGAACCAATGCTTTGGGGAATTTAAGACTTGCAAAGGTAACTGTAATTTTTGTATAATTAAATTTTGAATCTTTCATCGTACAGCTGTTTCAATTAAAATAAAAAACATCGATAATTAATTTTCTTTCTATTTTGTTTAAACATTTGTTACAAAGAAAATTATGTATAATGTAATTTGAAATACTTATAATATGTTATTTTGTTTGTGTAAAGTTTTTGCAACAATGATAAGATGATATTGCAGCATGAATTTATTTACTCGTACAGATATACAGTGTCAGGTAAACGAGCCAGCTTTAACAGGTTCCGAGATAAAGCACCTGAATTCACAATGTTGCGTGAATAATTCACCCATATCTACTAAAGATCCGGATCGCTTCATTCTCAACAATGGGATATCCGATTTCACGGTGTTAACCTGTTTTGCAACAATATACGTCAACATATATAGGGTGTTTTATCTAACTTGACCATCATCTGTCTCATTATTTTGTTATAGGTATTTACAGACACCTTAAGGTCACCTTAAGATCGTATCTTCTTTTGAGATTTCATAACCACCTTTACCTTTTTAAATTGAATTGTATATTTATTCCTTACACGTATTGATTTTTCTTACAAAAAGAAGTGTTGTAAAATTTTCCAGAGTTTATGGAATTTATGGAATTTGTGGGATTGTGGGATTGAAGAATTGTTGAATAGAGAATCACTGTAAATTCTTAAAGAATATAATTTTGAGATAACCTTTTATAGAAAGGAAGTAAAAAATTACATTGAAAATTAAATATATTCCATGATAAAATTCATCTGAAAAACACACAGACCTCTTGAAATGACGTAATAATTGATGACCAGCTGAGATAAGACACCCTATATACAAGAAACACATAAGAATCATGATACACGCGTACAGGCTATAAGATTCCGCATGTTCATGCTACTGCAACAAATTACACAATACAGCAATCTACATCAAAGTAAAACGTTCTACCAAAATGCCTTTGCATGAAATTTATCAAAGTGGAAAAAAATTGATCGAAAGAACAATTGGTCAAAAAACGATAGTTACCTGACGGAAGCAGTATGCCGGTTACTTTTATCCCCCTTGTATCGTTTTGCTTCTTTGAATAATTCTTTTTCTTTTTCGAGCGGACCTATTGCGAACATGATCTTATTAAAATCCATTATCTTTTTTTATGAATTACGTTACACTCTTACATAAGGTATTATAGGAATTGCTTAAAATAAAAAATAGAAATAATATTGCCACAAAACTTCAAATATATTGGAACGTTATGATTAATATAGAAAATAAAATTTTCTTTTTTCTTTAAGGAAGCCTGCCATGATCGACGCTGTACATATTGAACACATTGATTACATTGTTGTGACGGGCAACGACCAATCCCTTGTAATCAGTAACCGAACGAATCGGTACAAGGGATCAGCCTTTTTCGGTAATCGTTACTTTCCCGACACGATCATAATCTCTCATCGGAAGCACCGGTATAATGTATACCGTGCACTTGAAAGTGCCTACCGTCCAAAAACGGACTGCATTGATTCATAATCCATTCAGAGAATCTGACTGTGAAAAACGTCATATCGATAATATGCATTTTTAAATATACTTAATGGACCTGGTCCACCCATAGAAAAATCCTAATTACTCCAATAAAAATTTCATAAATTACAACTAATAATCTTTTATCATATTTACCTGAAATTTGTAATTTTTCTACAATAGAACTTACGTTAATCACATGACAATGTGCATTAACTGCTAAATGTATATATATGGTGAATTAACGCTTTTACTCTACAGAATACGTGTACAGTACCCTGAAGAAAACGATAAAAAGAGATCGAGTTATATGCACGTAGGACGTACGGTCACCCTGCGACCAGCTCACGTGAGTAAAGGTTTTACCGATGGCATATCCCATACAAGCATCGAGAAGCATATAGGCAGAGGTTCCCACACTGTAGGCAATGATTTATTGGCCTGCCACCCGCCAGACCTGCCGTCATCATCGTCCCATGGTTGGTCCAAGATACAGCGAACCGTACCGTATATAACTTCCCTTTCTTCGCGATCTTTCGCGCCATATCGGCTCCTTCTTCCATCGCGCCCCGACGAAACAGGAAAGCCCCGTTTGATGCCACTCCATCCGCCTTGTTTTATCCTTACCAAGTACGATACTCCAAGGGACTTAATAGTTACCTACTTATTTATCTATGCTACTGGTAGCATTACTGTCTACGCCATTGATGCGGAAGCAGTCGTAAAGAGGTCATGTTCAATTGGGTGTCTAACTTTTTCTTAACGATCGCACATTTTAACCTTCTTTCTTTGCTTAATTTAATACCCAAATAACAATAATAGCAATAACAGCAATAATAGCACGGGTACCAATAGAAGGGATGCGACTTAAGGATCGATGCCCTCTGCGGTGGAGGGCAGAGTTTGGTATCAAATCTAAACCAGCACCAGTCAGAATCTTGTAAGATTTCCATCTGTTTAATCATGAAAATTCCAAAAAATCATAGTCCATAGGCGTTCCAAGAGTGTTAGATTGAATCACAGTGTCTCAACAGCTGGACCATGACCTTTACCAATTACGCCACTCCGCGTATGTCATACCTAACGCAATATTCCTATTAATATTGACAGTTACGCATAGTTTAACCTTAGAAAGTCGGTTGACCCCGTTCACTTTGCACATACACGGCCGAAGACGGTGAGGCAGTTGATGCAGGGTGAATAACACCCCTGAACTGACCTACCAGTGCTCGCGGACAAATTCATCGGAATCAGGGTTACGGACGTGCACACGTGGGTCAGCATATGCATGGCAAAACGTAACAACGTGTATAGGACGGTTTCGTTCGAGGGGGACTGGGAAGGAGGGCGGGGAGGAAGAGGGTTCCTTCCAGAAGATGGGGCAAACACGAAGTCGCCTCGGTAGAGGGGTTATTTCGTTTCGTCTCAGCGTGGTTTCCCAAGCGGCAGCCTCGCTCGCCGACTGGCATCGTCTACAGTCGAACGAGCTCGCCACTGGACGACGGACGTCGCGGCGTCGTCGGCGTCGGCCTCTGGGTTTCATAATCAAGGAAAATGCGCTCTATAGTTGCTTTCGTCCTCGCGTTCGTGTCAGTGGTCACCGGCTGCACCTTCTGCGACAGACAGTTGCAGCTCAGGCAACTTCAACAATTGTCCCAGCAACAACAACAACAACAACAACAACAACAACTAGGGTACAAGACGATGGGTAGTCCGAGACCATTTGGGGCTGAGAAACCTACCAGGGCGCAGGAATTTAATAGGACCGGCGTTCTGCATCCCGAGTACCAGATACCTGCTACCCTTCGGCCTGGCAATGTGTCTCAGTGAGTATGCACTTCGGGTCCTAACGCGGGGTCATTTTGATCATGCAGGGGTTGAGTAAAGTATAATTTCTTTAAATTCAATTTTTTTAAGAGATTTTATATTTAGTTAATATTATATATTTTATTTTTATTTTTACTTTTTCAATAGTTGCAGAAATGATAAATATGAAATATATTACTTTGATGTTTTTACTTTATTTTCATTGTGAGATGAATTACATGGGACTGAAATAACATAGATTACATTACAGTCCAATTTATACGGAATGCCAAATCCTTCGTCCAGGCAATATAATAGAAACGTGGATACCTGTAGATTACATTACTGAGAACGTATTATGTCTCTGACTATCGGATAACGAAACACATTGGAATGACTAATGTATCTTAGAAACAACTATTTCAACTATGCAACTATCACTTCTATAGAAAAGAACAATATAACAATCCTTTTGTTATAAAAGAATTAAGCAATGTTTACAGATCAATATTCTAAGGCAATTTCATGACATAAAAGTATCTTCAAATACCACTTATGATACATCAAAATAAAGCTTAAAATTTAATGAAAATGATCATACAAATGCCCCATTGATATTCTTAATACAAAATGTCTGGCAGTCAATTATAACAAACAGTGTTATTTCACTACATCAAATATCTAATTTCGAAACGCAAGAGATCCAAGTCAATTTCATGACATAAAAGTGTTTTGAAATGCCACTTATGGCACATCAAATTAAAGCTTAGAACTCACTAAAAATGAATATCTAAACATTTTAGAAATTTTTTTTAATACGAACTGCTCAGCTACCAGAGAATCACCTTATTATAATACACAGTTAGATGGTCATCTATCTACCAACAATTTTATGTCACGAATGGAATAGCAACAGCTGCAAAGTACAATCTTTTCCTTTTTCATTGACCAAAATTACATACGCTTTGGCCTAAAGATAAACGGCACATAAGAATGGTGCATTCACATTTCGACGAACTATAGAAACAATTCATGCGAATTTCGTTTGCGCCTGCATAGGCTTGTTTATTCGATGCACGTGTATCCAGCCCTATGGGGCTTTCAACGTTTATACGGGAACGTCACGAACCCCGTGCCGTGTTTCATCAACCATAACACTGATTTTATAAATTGTAATTTGACTCGAATTACCAGGAACGTCGTATTAACTACTTTCCTAGGTGTTTCTTTTGCGAGCTTCCTTTTTTCGCATCGTATTTGAACGTTTTGTTTGTTTTGCTAGTATTGTCAGAGCGAGCAGTATTTTCTTAGTAATACGTCTACTGTACTTAATGATCCGATGCGTCGCGACGCTACGCGCCATAAAATTCTACTTACTATCAGATGCTTTCCGTGAAACTCATACGCAAGTCTAATTGTATTATTACTTCGAACATTAAAACTCTAGGTTGCACATTAAACTTGAACTTTGAGTATATTTAACTTCATATCGTATGGATATAGGACATAATTACATAGTATATAAACATTTTTTTACATACCTGTACAACCCTTAAAGGGGCTGTAAATTGAATATGCCATTAAGATACGTATCTCCAAAATGTCACTTAATCAGAATTCATAGGATCCACGTGAAACTCACTAAAAAAGTGATAATAACAATGATGGTTCAGAAGAATCCAAATAAAATTCAAATTTCGAAATGCAAAATCTCGAAACTCAAGGTTTTGAAATCTTTAAATCAAAATTGCAAAGTTTCAAAATCAACATTTCGAAATTCAAATTGCAAAACTGCAAAATTCAATATATCCAAGTTTCGAAATCAGAATCTATTTAACCCTTTAAGCATACGCCTGTGCATAGTCGTCGTATCATTCTTTCTCTGTCTCCTGCCCCCCTCCCCCTTCATCCCTTTAGAACATCGTCGCGTTTCATCCCGTTAGAATCGTCCGGCGAGAGCGTCGGGACGCCGCACGTGCTCTTCGCTGACTGCCTGGCACTGAAACGGCTATTGTAAAATTAGCGTCTACACACAATGCCGGCGTCGCGGCGTCTGGGGTCGCGTAGCCACGACCCCCTTGGTCTAATTTTGGCGGCCGGTTTGTCCCACTACAGACACGAATTGATTCTGTCATTCGGGTCCGCGTCGCGAGGCCGTCTCGCGACTTTCCTGGAAATCCTCGCCAATAACCGTCCCTGCGACGCGTGACGCCGCGACGCCTTCTGACAAGAACTTACTCACTGAACGGAGTTGGATTTTAACGAGATTTTTATCAACCTTTCATTGATTCTTTTACCCTATAAATAAATAGTAACGAATCATAGGTTTATTATTTAATTAACATATTAATTAAAATCGTATACGGTTAAACTTAACACGTGTAGAACATTAATATCGTACTGGATGCAGCTGAAATTATTACAGGTTCTATTATCTGAGTCCACGGGAAGGTCCACCTCTTACCTTACTAGTCAGTCCATGTAGCGGACCCATATCATGGACAGTCAGTTACGTCGAACCACCCGAAAACACTGAAGAAACGGAAGGAGCAAACTGTATGAAATCACATTAATATAAAATATATGGGGGTGATTCGATAAAAAAATAATAATTTTTCAAGGTTTTATATTTATAGTCATATTTAGTATCTAACTAATTAAAATTCCACAATTATAAAACATTGGAAGTATACGAAATTTTTCAAAAATCAGAAAAATAATTAGGAGAATAATTTTAAATTGTGATTAATATAATAGCTCAATCGCGATGGCCAGTGAAAAGTTTGAAGCCAGGTTCTCCCCTCTTTACCTACAAAGGAGCAGAGGACCAGAATTTCACCATATCAAAAACAAGAGCTGGTTTATATTGGTTCGAAATTAAATCTATGGATCCGCCAGATGCGAATCTACAAAAATTAACACCTAGCACAGTACTCTTGTATGCAACGTCAAGTGGACTACGACATATTCCGGAATTGTATGCTAATGAAAGAGAAAATCGTCATCATTCATTAAGATTTCAGCAACGAAGGAGCAAAAGACGGCTTACCATATCTTGGAATAAAAGGTATAGTTAATAATTTGTTTTTTTTAATTTGATTAATTAAGGTTTAATAAACTTTGTGAAATTTTAAAATTTGAATTTTGAAACTTCAACCTTCATATGCCGAATGTCGAATCATTTTGAGTTTGGAATATCGATAAATACGACTTTAAAGAATAATTTGTTTATTTTTACAGCAACATAGATCCCCATCTCTCTCATTATTGTTTAGCAGTGACATCAGGATCTCAAGCACACCCTTTAACGCTTTGCGCAGCGCAAAACTTATTACGTGTCCATCCTTATCCAAGTAAAGGAAGCTCTTCGAAGGAACAGCAACATCGTGGTATTCCGGAAGGACTTCATTGCGTGCGTCAAACGAAATTGACGCTTCACAGGATGAAGTATGATACCACGTACAATTTCACTTTATACGTGGTTAGTAAGAACGATCTAAAAAGAGCTTATAAAACTCGACAAATCATCGATCGTAATTATTCTTATTCTACATCAGGTGAATACCCGAAATAATGTTTCGAATCGGATAGCAACCGATGCTTTAAGATTCCGAAGAACCCCAGAACTGATGCTACGTACTGGAAGGTACACTACTGCAAATTTACGAAAAACTGATGGATTCATCAACTTCCGGTATCGTCCTCCAGGAAATGCCTCGAGTATCTTCCATATTCTACCCTGTGGTGGTGGCATCGTTAAAGCGAAATTAAGTGGGCCAGGAATTTTGAGGGTAAGAAATCTTCTTAAAGTATTTAAAGAAAATCAACATTTTTTTACAAAATGTATCAGAAACTTAATTGTATAGGTATCGTGTACCAATGAAGAGATTCCTAGTAATATTATGAGTGGTTTACATTTGTAGGAAAAAGAGGTTGTAGGATATGCATCATTAAGGGTACCACCTTTAACTTCGGGGAAGACATACACATTACGGATATCCGCTACACCACAGGAATTAGTACGGGTATCCGCCATAAAAGTACTAGCCACCCAAGAATCGTCCACCATATACCCTCAGGTGAATCCATGAATGAAGTAATCTCTGTTAAATAACATTGTCAGCGTAATATTCATTTTCTCGGTACGCTGATCGAAACACATGATTACAGACAATGTTTCAGAACCTATCTTTCAAGATCGTTTATAAAACTCGTTATTTAATCGTGCAAACAACTTAGAATTTGTAAAGCGTTGCCTCGATGATGAAAGTCGTAAAGGATTTTTCTCTCAATTAAATGTAAAGACAAGCCTATTATGAGATACGGGAGGTCTGATATAATTTCATGATGTGAAATGGTATATTACTAACGATAAGATGTATTAAACCATTTTCTTTAGATACCATCCAGAAGTGCACCCCACGAGTATCGTTCTCTAAGAACTTGCCACGAAGTAACGGTAGGAGTAGAATCGGCAGGTGCAGCAAAATATTGCATCCTAGTACGAGAATTAAAAAGTTCATCATCATTATCCAGCATAACAACAATACCAGACCAATGTGGTCTTCATCGTCGACGTCGTTCCGAATATACCTTCGAAGTATGCGAAGAGAAACAAAGCCCTCCTAAGGATAGGGCACTTCCTTTCACCCTGAAGAGACTGCAACCAGGAAAGACTTATCTTCTACAAATCACGGCTCAATTGAAGGGTCAATCTTTATCCTATCCACTGTTAGTTGTACGTACACGACGTTCCTGTATACCTTGATACTAACGAAATAGAAATTACCAATGACAATTATTAACCCTGCTGTCCTCTTTCTTCGTCATTGGAGTAATTAGGATTTCTTTCGGGGTCCCTTAGAAATTTTGTAATTTTGGAAGGCAGAAAATTTGGAAACCCTAAACTTTGGAATTTTGGAATTTAAAAAGTCTAACATTCTGAAATTTTTGAACTGAAATTCCAAATAATTCAATTTGATAAAGTAATGTCTATTTTTTTCTAAAATTCAAAATTCTTTCAACTACAAAAAGACATTCTTTTCGAGGCTAAATCTAGTCCAGATTCACTCCATAATGTTTACATTTTGGAATTTGCATTTTTTTTTCTCTCTAGTTTAAGATACCTTTCTACAATTTTTCTCTGTAAAAATATTAATCAATATAGGTACCAATTACACTTGCACTGTAAATACATATACAATTTATTAGGCTGTTGCATCACAAATGGCAGAATTCTGCTAGAACATTAGGATATAAAAGTATCACAATGGCTACCATGCAGAGCAGCCATGCAAAGTTTATGTACAGTCCTTTTGTAACTTTTTTAAAATTGAACCAAACGAGTTTATTTGAATTTACAAAAAATATTTTTTCACTGTTCATTACATCGCGTTTTAAAGGATGTATATTACAAATAAAGATTAAAGTACTTAGTCTTTAGTAACTTAATAATTAATAAACTTTAATGATTTATTTAATTCTTTTTTTTATTGTTGACAAATTCTCGTGCCAATATTCAAAGAAGTTATAAAATCATAATTTAAAGGCACCGAATTAATTTGTTACACCTCATACACCATAAAGATAGTCATGGCCATAAAAGGTCATACTTATTAGGAGTATTTTAATTCAGTCTTGATTAACGACCTAAGTTTATTACCAGCTGAATCTTCTGGTTCATATTGCAACAAAGATAATGCTTCTTCTAAAAGACCTTTTTTATCTTCTCCTGGACAAACGGATAATTCTCTTAAGGCAACTGCCGTGTACAATGCCACTCTTGCACCATAAGGATCCAATAATTTGGTAACTTCTATAATACGTTTACACAATTCAGTTTTCCTTGGATCATTTGCAGGCAGTAGTTGAATCAGTGAATGACCAACGGTGATACACTGTTGATGTCCTGGATGCAACAAGGTTGTGAGCCTGAAACAGAAAAAAAATGAATCAATTACGGTTTAAAAAAATTAAGTTGCTTTAAGGTAACTCTGTACTTGATTAATCAACAAGAATAATCAAAAGTTGTAATATTTAAGGTATCCTAATGTATATATCATAACAATTTGTAAACTAATTACTTTTTGTATAAATAAAGGAATTATTAATGATGTTCTATAAAATATAGAGGTAATTAAGAATAAATTACTAAAGGCAGAAAGATCAATTTTCGTATATTAAATAAACTGCCTTTTTTTAATCAATCAGTGGCGACACGTGTTTATGGTGGTCTTTTTAAAAAATACACTAAATTTTTACAAAATTGTACTTCTCTAATCATCTCACCTGGAATAAAGATCGATTAATGTATTTTTTCTCGGTTGGAACATAACTTCGTCGACATCCTCCTCCAACTTTCCAGTAAACTGCATCACTTCCGCTGCCGTAAGGACACCAGGACACGAATCGCAGGCCCATTCTGATTCAAAGTCCAATGGGTTTTTTGGTAATATGAAACCATTATCGTGAGGACATTTTAAAGTGCCCAGATGGGATCCTAATTCCGTTGGATCAGCACATCGTTTACAACGACAGGAAAAGTATTTTGTTTCCAGGAGATGAGTTCTTCGAGCTCTCGTTGCCCATAGTGCGTGTGTGTACATTGTACTTAAATGTTCTCCTCTGTATGCAAATGAGAAAACATAAGAGAAATCTACATAGCACCAGAATGGAAGTACATACGTTGTACACTGTACAGAATAGAGTATGGAGGCTTCCCTAGGTAAAATGATGATCTCGAAAAAAGAAACCAATACTAGCTATAACATTAGGTACATAACTAAGAAATGTGAATAATAAAATAAATATCAAATCAAATTAAATTTTCCCGCATAAATGTTTGCACTGCATCGCCATTTACCCTCGGGAAGCCGACCGTCACCGAACTCCAAGAAAGAATACACATACTTTTTAATGAAACAAAGAGCCTTGATAATGATTCTAGGCCTTCCTTTATCATCGATCACAAAAGAATGCCTCGTATTAGCTACACAAGAATGCTCCAAAAGACAAGCCGTATTATAAATAGCGACACATCCTTTGGGCGGTGCAGTTTCTAATGCATTAACATCTATCAATCCACAGATCTTCCCTACCATATCTTTATCAGTTTTAATGCCTGATAAGAAACGTTCAATATGTTGACTTATACTCATAGCTTCTTCATATGCTTCTGTTCCTGGACCACGAGAATCTTCATGGCTTTGTAATTTCTCCAAAGCTGCCCATTGTTTTGATTTCTTGCGCGATAGTAGTAACATTCGTATCACTAAGAGAACATCGGATCTATGAAAAAATATGAATAAAAAATAAATATCTAAAAAGCGGCAAAAAAACGAAATTAATAAACGTTCAAATTTCGTGTACAATACATTCCAAAATCTTTGGGATTTGAAAAATTCGATTGTAGCCTACCCTGATCCAATCCTTACATCATTGAAGGGTCTTTGTAAGAATAAGATTTGTGAATGAACTATACAAACCTAGGGAAGACTCTTGCTTCAACGAGAAACGGACACTCCAAATTGTGTCTATTCTTATCAAAAAGACCCGGACAGTCCGGGTCACAGGCTGGCCATAAGCACCTTCGGCATCTGGTGCTGTTATTCATGCACTGTTTTCCACATCCTACACATATCCTTTGGTCATCCGTGTGCAAAGCCGGTCCCCAAACCAAAGGGGACTCTGACAGGATCACATCACCTGGATCCAGATCCCTCGATGCCAATAAGTGTCTACCCAATTCCGAATCTTCGTGAATCACCCATGCCTGGCATATAGATTTGTGTCGTGGCCAGTCCTGTTTCTGATGCTCCTTGTTGCAATAAAACTGATGTTTACAACCACTGCATTTTAATGTAGCGTGTCCATTGCAGATCGGGCAAATACCTTCCATATTCGATACAGTTTCGTTTAATTTTTCATTTTTTATCAGCACAAGAGGCGTAGACAAAGCTAGATTGCTACTGACTGTAAGAGCGGCGAAGTCTGTATACTGCTGGTTTAATTATAGGAAGCTATTTTTGAAACCATCTTCTTACAATTACATTGAACTAATCGCTTCCAAGTGTTACGCTCGGTTATTAATTGAACACTGTCATTGTATAGAATTTAATTAGATGAACACATCTAACTGATTGTTTAGGAGATACTAATTAAAAGTAATTATTCCGTTTATTTTCAAGTATAAGAAAATGTTACACTTACCCCTTTATATGCTTATGCGGTTAAACGCGTGACTACAAATACAGAGATCTCGAGTTCGAATCCACTTCCTTTTTTCATTTCAATTTATTATTTTTGTTAATAAATTACTAATAGATGCAATGACTACTTTTAAAAACAAATTATTTAATCAGGATTTGAATGCTGGATTTTTTTTATTTAAATTTTATTAATAAGTAAATGAAATACGTGGAAACCTTCTCTTGTTAGACTTTATTAGGTAATGGTGAAATGAAAGTGTAATGTAAGTGCTTTCTAAAAGAATGCATTGTGAAATTTGGTACATTGCATTTGTAACTGTTCAACCTTAACTTTATAACTAGTTTAAGTATTGTATTTACAAAAGTTTAAATGTACATACATTGGTTTGTAAAAGAATATAAAATACATTGAAAGTAATACAATATAGAAAAATAATCTTGTCAACCTAATATAATATGGTCATAATTGTATATATAAGTAGAATATTTATCACATAAGTTTGCTATTTAAGTATTAGGTTTATTTTAATAGCACGATATATTGTGAGCCTCGTTTGAAGATTCTGTTTGTAACAAATATAAATATCTTATGAATAGCTTCTTATTAATTAATAGATTTAATATACAGATTTTATTCTATCTAAATAACATAAATGATGGAGACCTATGACAATAGAAATAAATGGCAACAATTAGATATGAACGATTAACTTAATTTAACTAAATTTAATATTACAATTCTTTCGCTTATAATTAATTTCAGTAAAAAGTAGGTACGAATTAAAGGTGAAAAAGCTATTTATTAGGGACGTTTGAATTATGAACTCGGGTCTACTCAGCAAATATCTGCCGACTTATCTGCCTACCCGCATATCCCTATACACTATATATATATAATATACATATGTATTTCTATACAGTATTACACTTCTCCATCTCTTTAAGAACCATATCAAAAGTTATAGAATAAAAGTATCCATAGATCAACTTTTAGCAATATTTGTGATTTATTTAAAAATTCATCACCGTAACTTTCAGAGATTTGCAATTTTACGTACAATTTTACAAAGAAATGAAAAAATGTTAAAATTTCTTTCCAAAGGCCGCAGTATAGTTAGAAAAATCTAAATAACATAAAAATTTCTTCGAATAACAGCCAGATGATTTATTTACTTAGAAAAATAAATATTTACAATTAATTTTTTTTTTAAACAAAATGAATATTCTCTGAAGTCTATCAAATAAATAAAAAACAGATAAAATAGATAAATTGGCTAGTGTTCTTTCTTTGTGCTATTCTTTATGCTACCATTTACATCGCGCCATGATTTGCGGAAGCAGATTGAAGACCGTACCAAATTCCATATATCTTTCCCTGTACCCACAAGATTACAAACAATTAATGACGGTGATTCATACTCATTCGGTACAATTCCATCAACAGAAGATTCGAAGAAACTGAATAATGGAAACCAAATTCTAGTTCTATTTGAATCACGCTGCATTAATGCTTGGTTATTCGCCAATGTATGGTAATAAAGAAAGAGTCGGGAAGTTATGTAAAATGCTACGAAAACGTCGATTGAATAATGTTCATGTGCGGCTAAAATGAAGAATATACCAAACATGTTGAGCATCCAGGTAAAGGTGTGTAAGAAGTACAGTTGTCTTGGGGTATCTGTAAAATTTATTTATTATATGTATAAAGTGTCTACATCTAGCATGCACAGAAAATTAAGTAGAACAATCGTGAGCGCATGAATATCTTGCGAGCACATCCATGCCCTGCGGGTAATTTCGTGCGCATGCCTGCTATAAACAGTCAACAATGCAGATATTTAATGTTAAAAGCTCATTAATGAATACTTACATTCTGTAATGAAAAAATTTAACATTGTAAGAGCAACAGTATGTCCGCTAAACATGTAGTCACCACAGGTTCTGACTCCTTGAATGGACATACCAGCACCACGCCATATAACGTAAGCCATAGCGATTTTGTTGTATAACTCTACATATGCAGAACTGTAAAATGAAAGTAACAGTATATTTATTTGTGTTCATATGCACTCGCTCCCTCGCTACAATAAACTCTCGCTATATTGTTAGTTTGAAGGCTGTAAGAAATATACCTTGTCCAATCTTCGGGCACCTTACGTGGTTGACATTGCAAGTGGGCACCTGGTACTGATAAGGAAGTAATAAGCATCGTAACGCATCTTAACAGGAAGACTGTACCAGACAAAGCGAAAAATCTTCGCAATAAAATAAATCTGAAAATCATCAAAGATTTAACACACTCATCTAAAATAAATACCTTTGAAACCTCGTGTCTGTACTTTACCTGTACTTATGAAAAATTAACACAACAAGCCATATAGCAAAGAGTATAGTTCCTGTGACTTCACACATATCAAATGCCCAAGGAATATGTGGAACATTATCTAAAAATATGTCAGGTAATGGGGGATACTTCTTCATATCAGGAACTCTATCATGAACAATGACCATCACAAAGGCAGTAATCCAGGTAACAATAAATAAATATGCCAAACTAATGAAAGCTTTCCATATTTCAGGTGGCAGGTGTGATGCATGGCCATCTTCTGAGACAGATGCTGAATGAAATTCGTGCTCGATAGAATTCTCATTATTTATAACCTTGATAGGCATCTGTCAAAAATCAACTATAATTAATTTAATTTTTTATCAATAAAACATGGATACACAGGAAATTGATTGAGCCTCTGCTTGTAATAATGCGCGCCGGCAATCTCGGACGCCAGTGTTGCGCACAACTGAAAAAAGTTTCTACTTACTTCATGTTTATGATGACTATAAAAATTGGGTGTAGGAAATATGTCTACGCATCCTAATTCAAATAATACTGCCATGTTATCCCTTTGTAATTGTTTTACATTAATATATAGCTTCTTGATATCTCCAATTTTGTGTATATTCACAGCTATCAGTTTCAGGTCATCTTCTTTCAAAGTCAACAATACCTTCCCATCAATTTCATGATAGAGAAATGAATCAACAAATTTTTCATGTCCACAATCATTGAGCCACTTTGTCACATCTTTTTGTGTCCATTCAGCTATATTTTTCGCAGTCATCATTTATTGTAAAGTTGTACTAAATCTGTGTAAAAGAATGTTATATTAGTGATTATTACAATATAATAACAAACGTATTTATTTAGGTTAAAATAATAAAATATAATAGGAGAAAATAAATTTAGATGTACATTTTTAATTAGCAGGTGTCGGTTTTACGTTTAATTAATTAATTCAATGAGTTACGTTTAAATTATTCATTCGATGAGTTACGTTTTGAAATGTACCTAACATAACCTTAAGCGACTATTTACGTACCTTAGAAATTTAATACTTGGATTATCAAAGTTGTATATCACAATGTTTTCGTGCGTTTATTATACATAATGAATATTATGGCCTTATTGTCAAACAGAACCATACGTTGGCAGTATATGTAAATAAAATAAGCCAGACGACACCATTGATCAAAATGTCACAAATACAATTGACACATTCAGCATGATATAAAGTTTGTCCATTGAAAAAATGCCAATTGTAGTACAAAGGGCCTCTAAATTCAGAGCGCGATACACTTTTGAGATCATAAAAGCACAATTCTTTGTTCTTGATTCGTATTTACAACATCGACATTTGTTTACGGTAAATAATGACGTTGTGTCGTTGACGTTGCACGGTTAGGAATTTATTACAACGACACGGTATATCTTGTAGGGTTGATATTCTGTTGTAATTATCGTGGATCTTAGCATCCTCCTCTTTTTCTCATTACGTGACCGGCAACGCCAATTGCACGTCGTGCCTTAAACTATTAGCATTCGGTGCTGAGTTGGCAGTCTTGACGGCGACAACTTTGTAACTGCATTGTGTATTGAATGGTGCCGTGAGATTTAAAGTGGAGTTAGTAATGAATGTACTTAAACGATATACTTAAATATCATTACTTAATGAGCGATGAGCGGCCAAAAGTTGCAATATGACGAAAGCGGTGGAACGTTTTTCTACTTTTTGTTATCATTCCTGGCGCTTCTTTTGATACCTGGGACTTATTACCTTTGGCCACGTTGCCCTAAACAAGGTTAGATTTTAACGTTATATATTTACTAATTTAACATAATTACCGGATTATTTTTCTTTGATGAATTTCTCTGCATTTAACAAACCTTCTTATCTATCTACAGTGTATTCCATTACATTATGACAGAAGACTTAACCATCACTTAATTGTGAATATCCCGTTACTAATTTACTAATAATACCAATAACGGTACATAGTAGTTTGTAAATAAAACATTGTAAAAATTATATCAATTTTTTATTAAGAATTTACTTAAAGAATAGTTTTGTTGTTATGTAAAATAATTGCCACCGTTTAATGCACTTTTGACCAAGTCTCGGCGCCGCGCCGAGTCGATCATTGTATGCCGTGACGTTCGAACACTGAGCACCGAGCACGCGATACCGCGTGAACGGATTTTTTAGCCTTGGTACACGCAATGTCGCGTGAAGTTATTAAAATGCAAAATATATTATAAAAATTATTTTAATTTAGATCCTGATCAAGAGGCAAAAGAATGTCAGTGCGATGGTTGTAAAAGGAAGAAAATCATTTTGCAGCTCAATGAACCATGGAAAGAAACCAAAGCATTATTTATGTAAGTTATTTTCTATAATATTTGTTTATATGTAGGTTAAACATTGTTTTTTTTAATGCAGGAAATTTCTCATTATTTTCGGATGGATAATCCTTATTTTTTTGGCGTACAAGGTGTCCCAGTTTGACTATGAAATGGCCAATTTTGATCCTTTTGAAATACTGGGTGTCCCTCCTGTAAGTATTTATATACATACGTATTTTAATTATGTAGCGATATGTATATAATGTTGTAATTATTCCTAGTCTGCAAGTCAAAGTGACATTAAAAAAGCATACCGTAAACTTTCTTTAATTCTTCATCCAGATAAGGAAACTGGAAATGAAAAGGCATTCATGAAATTAACTAAAGGTAAGAATTAAAATATAGCAGTGATATTCGTTTCTATATTAATTAACAGCTTATAGAGCACTGACCGACGAGGAAGCTAGAAAGAACTGGGAAAAGTACGGAAACCCAGACGGACCGGGAGCGATGAGCTTCGGAATTGCTTTACCATCATGGATTGTTGAAAAAGAGAATTCAGTGTGGGTTTTAGGATTGTACTCGTTGGTATTCATGTTTGTTCTACCAACCGTTGTCGGAACGTGGTGGTATAAAAGTATTCGTTACACCGGTGATCAAGTAAATAGATTTTAATTTAAACATGATATTTTAATATTATTTGAATAACGATTCGCTGTATTTGTTTCTAGGTGTTGCTAGCTACTACTCAATTGTATTATGTATTTTTTATTAAAACTCCTTCAATGTCTCTGAAAAGGGTTATTATGATTCTTGCTGCTTCCTTTGAATTTCATAAAAAGAGAAATGCTGAAATTGTTGAGAGATATACTGACAGCGAAGAAGTTTATTCGGTAAGATATATGAAAATTTATTTATTAGTTTGTATTTTTACTTTATTTTTTTATTTTCAGCTTATCAAGCAGCTGCCAGATTTAGGTGTGAAAAATAAGGAAACACCATTGTGTGACTCGTATTCAATTAAAGCTAGAGCTTTAATTCATGCACATTTGTCTCGTATACTACTAAATCCAGAAACGTTAGAGAAAGATAGGCAGTACATTATTAAAAAATGTCCATATCTAATTCAAGAAATGGTAACTTGCGTTAATCGAGTGATTCTATTAGCTTATGCTAGAAGAGGTACATATGCATGCTTTATAAAATATGAATAAGCTTTGTAGCTTATACAATCGTACTTTTTTTTTTGGATATGTTTAAAAATCTTTATTGGTGTAGCTAAGTAAGGGCTTAAATCAGGATGGGCGTGCACCCCTCCTAAGATGTGGGGATAGAATTTTAAATTTTTTAAATCTGAGTATTGCATAACTCAAAAATTTCAAAAGAAACATGTCCCACCCCAAAAAGACCCTAGTTACGCCAATGAGAATATACATCTTCAATATGAACATAAATTTCAATACATCTTCCCTTTCAGTTCCGCGCTTACCAACCATAAAAACTGTAGAAAATTGTATGAAATTATGTTCGATGATAGTTCAAGGATTTTGGGAATTTAAAAATCCTCTTTTACAGTTACCTCATATAACTGAAGATAATTTAAAATGCTTCTTACCAAAAAAGGTACACTCAAGTTATTATAATGTATTGTACAATAAACTCTCGCTATATTCCCAGTTGGACGAATTCCCCTTCACACAGATTTTCACAGACATGTAGTAATTAACTATTATGTTATTAGCATCAAATCAAAAGTCTTCAACAATTTGCACAATTGAAAGGAGAAGAAAGAAGACTGATCCTTAGAAATTTATCTGACAGTCAATACGAAGATGTAATGAAAGTTCTTGGAAGTATGCCGTACATAGAGTTTAAAGTACGCTCTGAAGGTAAGAATTATTTACCATTTCTACGAACATCAATGACGTCCATACATTTTTGTTATTTTAATTTCTATATTTCTACGTTTAGAAATTTGAAAATTTGAAATTTCTTAATTTCAGTAATTGACGATGAAAACCCAACTGTTTACACTGCTGGTGCTATCGTCACTGTAACAGTATCATTAACCCGTAAGGACATGAAACATTTATTCGGAGATGATTCTGTCAAAGAGCAACAAATGATTGATGATAGTAAAATAAGCAACGATGCTCCTGACGAAGTAATAGAAGAACAAATTCAGTCGGTTAAAAAACCAGCGTGGCTTAGACAAAAGAAAGGTCAAAAGAAGTCTCATAAAAAAGGAACTAGTAAGAAATTCACTGCGCCAAAAAATGCACAGACACAGTCTAACGCGAATAACAATGCTCAAACAAATACTCCTAACGCGAGGAAGAAAGAGGATAAAGAGTCTTCCAAAGATAAATTATCTGATGTAAGTGACAGTGATGTGGATAGTGAGAGAAGTGATGATGAAGACAGTCCTGATAAAAAGGATGTATCTATTGATGATGATGATACGGAATGGGAAAGGTAAAGTACTTTTCGTTTATAATAATGATGGGTAACGAGGACATGAAGGGGCAAAAAGCTTGGAAGTTGAATAGGCAATTAAAATTCTAAATTTATAAATTTCCAAATTTTGGAATCTCGATATTTCTCACATTTTATCGCTACTAACTCTAACCATTTTCTTCATAGGTTTCAACAACGCATTTCTAAGAGAGAAAAAGTCCTAGAAGGCAGAAGTAATCTATCCCACGAAGTGCATTGTCCTCTCTTTCCAGACATTAAACAAGAATACTGGTGGGTTTACATATGTGATCGTAAGAGTCAAACGCTGTTAACAACTCCAGTTCACGTTACATCGTTAGCGCATTTCGAAGAAGTTCAATTAAGATTTACAGCGCCTCGATGGCCAGGTGTATACACATTTACCGTATGTTTGCGTAGTGATTCTTATCTTGGCTTTGATCAGGCCCAAGATATCAAGGTATGTAACAAAATTTATTTATATCAAACAAAAATGTGAAAAATGTATTACTTTGTAGTTGGATGTTAAAGAAGCACCGGAAGTACCCACAGAACATCCTCAGTGGGATATTTCAGACGAAGAAACTGCGGAGGATGTTGATGCAGCTGATGAACATTCCGAGTTCACAACTGACGAAGATATCAGCGACAATGAGTAATATCCGAATGGATATTCAAGAGTTCGCATTTTCCTCTTTTTTTACTTGTCAAGTTAATGTACAATGAACTTTTATACGTGAAATTGCATAATCGTTGATGTATGTGGACAATCTAGGAAAATAGTACGGTGTGTAAGAGAATAATAGTAAATGATAGACGTGTGGGGGATACTGAACCGTTGTACTTCCGGCGAGGTCGGGCGAGATTGCGATTTTGCGGGAGTCAATCTTTCATTATATACGGAGTGTTTAAAATAACCCATTCAATATTTATGTGGTACATAGCACACTATACTAAGTAAAAAAAATACCTTAGTAAACATAGGTCAAAAGGTCAACGCCGAGGGATTTCTTCTCTTCCCTTGCCATCGACATGACCCCATTATTGGCATAGAACTAATTATCATACAATGTGCATAAGTCAAATTAGTATATACATATAGCTCTGTATGGCGTCATTACTGACTACCTTCCCCTGAAACCCCTCTTTTATCCCTCGATCGGGAACGTTGGTGCTATGTATCATATAAATATTTAATGGCTTTTTGAACACACTATATAATCGCGCTATTTGGTTTCGGGTCGCCTTGACAGAAACCGGATGCTTGAACGTTTAAGATTGGTACTCCCGAGCAGTAGGGGATCCCCCTACGCGCCCGATCTCGCTTGAAGTTCTTCCGTCCCGCCCCAAAGTCCGGGTTCCCGAGACTCGGTTCAATCCGCACACCTCTACTAAATGAAAATCATATTTATTTTAACATTGTTGTTTAATTCTCAGTTTAGGATGTGCATACGGTTTTTTAATAAAATACATTTTAAAATATAATAATGTTGCTTTCTTTTCTGGAAATTTCAAACTTGAAGTTGAATGATGGGGTCTGAGATGTCCTTTCAAATAAGTGAAAGTATAACAAAAACTATCTGTATTAGATATTCATTCAAGCATAAATCTATTTTATGTTATAAAACAGTTAGTATTCTACTTTTGTGAGAATCACAATGAATCTTAAGAATTTGAGTATCTATATTGTAAGTATAATTTAAAGAAAACGTGTATAGTTATAAATCATATAGTAATGGTAAATTTTGTTGTAGATATTCAAATATATTTTTATATACTTAATGTTGTGTATGGTGGTTAATGTTATTTCTGAACGAGGTAAGTTTAATATTAAAAGTATATCTTTATTAACAAATTATGTACATGCAAGGCAGAAAAATGTTATATACTCTTACAATGATAGTACCACAGTATCGATCGAGCATTAAATTTTTGTTAAAAATTCAAAGTAAAGATTATTTGCGTTAACTTTAAGACGTTCGTTGAATGATGACCACTTGATTGGCGCCAAAGTCGGTCGCCGTGGGGTTTTAGTCAATAGGAATCTGACACTTCCCCGCCGCCTTGCCACAGGGGTCGGTCGGGGGTCTTATACAGAATTTCCTCACCTTAAAAAAAAGAAAAAAATCCTTTACATCTCTGCTTTCCTTACATTCCTACATCCCTTACATCTCTGCATTCCTTACATCCCCGCATTCCTCACATCCCGGTATTCCTCACATTCCTGCATCCCTCATATCCCGGCATCGCTTACACCCTTGCACCTTTTTTGTAAGCATCCCATTATAGCGCCTTCTGGCGGTAAAAAAAGTAACTAAACCTTGCCGAAATTTTGGCCCCCTAGCGGCAAAAATTTCAACTAAAATTTCGACCTCGAATCAGTGCCATCTGGTTTTGAAAAAAGGAACTAAAGCAGGCAGTAATTTTGGCCCCCTGGCGGCAAAAATGCGAACTAAATTTTCGATGTCGATTCAGCGCCATCTGGTTTTGTAAAAAGGAACTAAAGCAGACAGTAATTTTGGCCCCCTGGTGGCAAAAATGTGAACTAAATTTTCGATGTCGAATCAGCGCCACCTGGTTTTGGAAAAAGGAACTAAAGCATGCAGCGATTTTTGGCCCCCTGGTGGCAAAAATGTGAACCAAATTTTCGATGTCGAATCAGCGCCACCTGGTTTTGAAAAAAGGAACTAAAGCATGCAGTAATTTTGACCCTCTGGTGGCAAAAATGTGAACTAAATTTTCGACCTCGAATCAGCGCCCTCTGGCGGCAGAAAAAGGGACTAAATTTTGCAAAAATTTAGATTTAAAATTATTTTTCACGAGACTTTACTTACCTGTACTTACCTTTACTTACCTGTACTTACTTTTACTTACCTTTACTTACCTTTACCCGAACCAGTGGCCATAAGTATTTTAGTTATAATATATTATATATTTATAATATATTTATTATAAGAGTTGAAAGGATACAAGAGATGTAAGGGATACAGAGATATAAAGGGTACAGAGATGTAAGGGATACCGAGGTATAAGGAATGCCGCCATATACGAGATGCAGGAATATAGGGAATGTAATGATGTAAGGGATACAGGGATGTTAAGGACGTAGACATGTAAGGGATGCAGTGATAAAGGGTTGGGCCTCGTGAGGTCCTTAAAGACAAAAAAATAATAAATAACTGGGAAGGTTGAGCCGAGGCCCAAAAGTCAAATTTTAATTGATTTATATTGTAACTAATTAATTCCTCGTGCACAGCACGGGGCGTTCCACTAGTCTTAAAAGAAATAAATACTTTGCCCGACCCTAAAAAAACTCCTAGTTACATTAATGCTTTTAAGTTACTATATATTTACCTCATCATACGCTATTTTTGATTAAACTTTTTGTCCACAGCCAATTTGAAATCAGCAATTTTGATTGAATAATATTTTACAGATCTTGCGAAGCCATTTACTAATATCCGGAAGAAAATGATACCAAAAAATATAATAAGTGGACCTACATATACATTCCTTAAAACAGATAAAGAAGCTAATATTAAATGGGGCGTGCGTCATTATATTCCACGAATATCAAAAAACCAATAAAATATGCTGTAAACGTAAACAATAATCTATTATGTGTATGTAAGTTCATACCAATTAATTCGGTGTCTTTAGTACTACTATTTTAAATTTGAATTTTCCGTGTTTTCACGGAGATGAAAAGTGACGCAAGAGCATGATTTTAATAATTGGAGTTACTATGACTAAACATAAATCTTTAATTGATAAAAGAAAAGACATCGAATTGATTGCTGCATCTAATAAAACTTAAATGAAGAATAGTGCAGAATAATTTGTTTACGACTCCAGATCAATCATTTCCATGTATTTTTTCTGTAACTCTATCAGAAGATTATCTAACCTGTTGAAATTAGATAAAATTGTTTTACTATTATATTTTACTTACTATATAGTGTACTTTATAATAATTTCAATTACACTTACGTATAACGTATGACTAAATTGTCGTATATTAGGTCACTATTTGCATCACTATCTTTGGTATTCTTAACAGATGTATTTAATGTCCGATTGCTGTTAAATTCATTAGATACTTCCATAGTGTCATTATTTTTTATACGTATGTCAATTTGTGTATTTAAGCACATATCTACATTAGGTTCTTTAGCCATATAATCAAAAGGAAATTGTACTATATTTTGAACTTTTTCATGATATACAGTAGTCATAGCAAGAACAGACTCAAAGATCCTTTCCAGCTTTAGAAGCTCTGATTCCAATTTTGCTGTTTGTCTAAGACATTAATTATAATCTAATAGTAATTATTCTCTATTTATATTACTTAATATTAATTTAATTAATTTTTTTAATATTAATTAATTAATCTTTAGAATTACAAAGTTTGGAGTTCAGAAAATCCGAAATCTCTTATACTAATATGAATAATATTAATCATACTCAAATTATAATCTAATACATATTAATTATAATATAAATATACTTACTTTAAAATTTCAGAAATATTTTCATTACGAAATTGCGTTTCCAATACTTGTAGAAAATCGAAAATTAATTTTACCATGTCTGTTGGTTTTGAACTTCTACGAAGATTTTCATGACTCATATTTTTACATGATTCAAATATTTTTACTGCTTTATCATATCTAAACAAAATGAAAACATAAATTTACTTTTATTTAAATATACACTTTATTTTTATTTTAAAACATATGAAATTTACTTACAATTGAGATATATCTTTGATGCAATCAATAGACTGGGCTGTTTTTTCCAATTCATTACCTTCTTGGGTTAGTAAATCAAATTTTAATTTTATTTGTTCAGTGGCATTGACAAGTTTACTGACTTTTTCATAACTGATTTCTACAGCTTCTGTTCGTTCTTTATTTAAAGATTCTTTCCCCTTTTGAACACGAATGATGGACAATTTACTCAGGAGGGTATTTATGTTCTTCAATGTATTTATTATGTTTTCGTTGAATGTATTGAGTCTTTTAATGAATAAATCTCTGTAATATTATGTTATTATACTTATTGAGAATTATAAAATCTTGAAATTTTAAAATGGCGAAAGAAACCACTCCATATTTTGGAGGAGGGAGCTATCTTGTTTCCTAACTATGTAAAATACTTACACTTCAATAGTCATAGCAAAAATATACAGTTGAAATAAATATATTTCTTGCTTAATAAAAAACACTGCTACTCTGTAATAATCTTTTAACGTTTCAATATCCAATTGAGTTCCAGATAATTCTATCATTTTTTGAATTTCTAAAGGAAAATTTGGTGTAGGTATATTCTCTATTAATGTACTTCCAGTTTTAAAGACAAACAAAACTGGGTCCTGGAAAATAAAATGAACAATGTATTGTTACTCTCTATATTGTCGGTTACGAGGCTATACACGGAAAATTCATGGAATGACGATATAGTAAGGAAGCATCACCGACATATGTGCAAATCTGTGTGAAGGAGAACTCGCTTAATTGGCAATACACCCGTACCTGAATTTGTGACAAAAGTGGTTTTTTGTTTTCAATAAGAATTTTGCCGAAGTAATCCGTTAAAGTTTGCTGGTTTACTAGAGTAGTAGTATCTTTTTCAATCATGGATTGTAACTCAGTGATACTAGTAGTTTGATCTACTTCATAGGAATAAATTTTGTACGTTGATGCGGAGAATACGTGGATTATCTAAACATATAAAATACATTTATCATATATAAACTATTCACAGACTAAAGTAATTAACTTCACTTTACAAATTCTTTTAAATTTTAATGCTAAAGCGTTTAATTACTGCTTAACTTTTTATATTTTATTAATTTCTCCATTTTTTATTTTATGAACTTAAGCAATTTGGCAAGTGAAATTACCTCTTTAGATAAAATAGTATGCAACAATTTGAACACAACAAGTTGTGGTACTCCGTTTTTGTCACATTGCCTTCCTCTTTCCTTTGGATCCCATTGTAATACTACTCTAAACCATTCCGCTAGTTTATCTCTAAGACATCTAATAGAGGAGATCATTTCAAAATAACAAGTTAATTAAAATAGTGAATTAGAGAGTTTAGATAAATTACATCTAATTTAGTAATGACATAAAGTATTACCTCGATAGATTGGTGGGATTAGCAATGTCTGTATCAAAAATTATCTTTCCTTCTGATTCAAAGGCACGAATAACTTCATATCTTTTATTTTTAATATGTTGCATCCTATAAAATGTACGTATTAATTAATATTAATACTAGGAGTTGTCATAATTATGGGTGTAATTAGTAAGGCGCAGGGTCTCATCACTATTCTAAAATTCTAGGATTATAAGATTTTAAAGTATTAAAATTTTAGAATTCTAGAACTTCAGATTTTCTAAACTAAAAAAATTCTAAAGTCGAGAATCTGAAATTCTAAGCTTTGAGAATTTAAGATTTTAATGTTATAATTAACATACCATGTCATAGTATGCTGCATTCTTGGAAGAAACGGTCTCGACCCAGTAACCATTTCGTAAAAGAGAATACCTAAACTCCAATAATCCACAGAACAACTATACCTCTGTTTCCATAAAAGCTCTGGGGCTACATAATTTAATGTACCTACTAAAGATGCAGAAGTACTAGCTTCTCCAAGTTCTTTTGCATAACCTAAATCTATCAATTTATATGAAATCTAAAAAAAAAAATATGAAAATTAATTATAATCTTAAGTGGCTCTGATGGTGGAAGAGCAGCACCAAACAATATAATGCTCCCGCGGCAATACAACGAGAGCTTACAGTATATAATGTTTTAATATTTTCTGGATTAAATAAATAAAATAAATAAGGAACACTTACAATATCATGTTTATCTTGCAAAACTATATTTTCAGGTTTCAAGTCTCGATGGGTAATTTTATTAGAATGCAAATATTCCACTGCAGAAGAAATATCTTTCATAACACTAATTGCTTCCTTTTCACTTACACCACAACAATTTTCTGTTTTACACAAAACCTGTTAATCAAAAATTAAAAATATATTAATTAATTCTATATTACTTAAGGAAAAGGGTTATGGTTTTAGAATTACCTTTCTCAGATCACCTTTCTTGCAAAATTCCATACACAAAACAGGTAACTCTGTTCTATCATTAGGATGCTTAAATGGCAATTCTAAACCTTTGATAATATTTGTATGTTTCAAACGTTTCATTATCTGTACTTCATTGATCCATCTGTTTTGTTGGGTTTCTGTTAACTGTTTAATGTCCCATTTACATCTTTTGATTGCTATAATGTATTATAATGATTGTAATATAAAAATTATCAGAGTTATAATGTGATGCATTAATATAGTGGAATCCACACTTTGGGACTTGCAATTTTTAATGACAATAGTTGAATAATAACACTATCCATGCCCTGGTGATGGATTCCACTGTGTTTAATTATATTGTTATGAAGGAATGAAGAAGGAGACATACCAAGTTTTGTACCATTGACATGTACCCAAAGCTCAACAATACCAAATCCTCCAGTTCCAAGAATTCTATCAAGACTCCACCCATCAAAAGAATTTTTAGCAGTCATTTTAAGTTTCTTACCTAAAAAATAGATATTTAAATTGTATGTAGAGAAAAATATTTAAAGGAATTTAAATTATGTAATCTGTAGAATGAAAAATATCTGCTGTTATAAGATAATTAAATATTTTATATTAGATAAATTTTTACAATTTTATATTATATAAACAACTGAATTTTTATGTTATATGAAATATATTTTGTATATTATACAAATTCTTTTACCTTTTGTCTTCTTTTACTGTATATATTAGTTATAGAATATAAATGACTATATTCCATAATTTTTGCATTATTGTTTAACCAAGTTATTATTATATTTACTTTGTCAAAGTATGAATAACATCAATAACTACAGATCCATACAGATCCAACACTGGACTTTTGTTTTCCAGAAGTGTTGAATTTATCTTGCGAATAAGCGCCATCTGATCTATTCTAATATAAAAACATAAAACATTTCGCAGTTGCATATATTACCCTCTGTCGGAGACACTGACAATGAGTAATGGCACCGACAAGTGGTAATGGGGTACATACAGTCTTTGATATCGAAACAATCTACTATTACCATCAACGTGCTTTAGACTGTGCAGTGCGAAATATTTCATAACACAAAAATCTCACGACTTCGATCAAACAACGCGTTCAATGTAGGAGGATGAAGAAGATAAGTAAAAATCAGAACAACTGAATAAAAATAATAATTTAAAAATTGACCACCGGAAGCGGAAGCGCTCAGCGACACTACAGCACAAATTCAAAACTCCTTGAAAACAAAAGCATGTCTAAGTATTTAGTCTTGTTGAATCTGTAGTCATTGCTGAAAGCAATCTAAAGTTTCAGAAGGGGTGGCGCTCTATGTCGGTCCGGTTTTTGAAGAAATATGGCGGATGTTGAAGTGAGTCTGTCACGTGGAACTCCACAAACCGTATTGTTATTTCCAAATTACTCATTATTGACCATTGTTTTTTTTTCAGTTAACGAAAGCATTGAAAGATCTGCCAAATCGAGTTCAAACCGCAAGTAAAAACGAGCGGCGAGAGATTCTACAAAATGTCGTCAATGTGTTGTCAAATCCTGGTAAGGAAGCCACCAGATAGTATTCAAATGAATTTACATTAAAATTAATGGTCAGAGAGAAATGAATTCTAACATACAATTTTTTTAAAATTTCATATTTTATATTATGTAATTTTAGTGATAATGTGACTGGTACATGAATATTGTTTTTCAAATAAAGTATGTAAAATTTGTATTTAATTTTCATATATAATTTTTTTTAAATTAATTGTAGAGGAAATTTTACTATTAATGTGAATATTTTCAGTAACTTTATTGCATATAGTATTAACTTTGATGTTTTCCTAATAGAAATTAGTCATTAAGCCATATAATGTTAATTTATCATTATTTTTAATTAATTCTTAAGTTAACAATGATTCAAATACTTTTAGGACTTATTATCTGTTAAATTAAGAAATCAAGAAATTTTTATTTATATCTAATTAAATGTTATTGTAAGTAGATATAAATTAAAAAATTTTCTTTTCAAAATTTTGACTTTGTAAAATTGTAAAATTTTAATTTTGGATTATGAGTCTTTATGTTGAGTCTTTGTAATAGTATAAAAATGTAAAATAGAATATTCCAGAGTTTAAGAAAATGAAAAATACTATTCTTATTTTAGGCATTAATGAGAAGATTGTCAATGGAATTTGCAAAACTATATCCCTCACTTTACATCGATATAAGGACACTGCTTCCCAATCTTACATGAAGAATTTGATTGTTGAATTACTGAAAAAGCAACCTGAGGCTACTGTGAAGCACATGACCAATGTAGTTGTGGAGCAGGCTATGTGGCATAAGAATGTAGTTCCTACGTATGTAACTAATTTTACAGAATTTAACAGATTCTAGTCCCTTAGATTATCTAATTAAAAACACTCTTATTAATTGGCTGGAATTATAAGTATCATGGAAAAAAAGATAAGCATTGTTAAAAGTAAAAGAAATTTTCAATGGCTTCAGTATAATAATGAATGCTTAAATATTAAATTACTTACTAATAAAGTATTATTTTGTAGTTTGAACACTGCTTTGACTGCATATCTCACACTAAAATGGTCAACCTTAGTCATTCTTTATGGACACAAAAGTAATACAGATGTTAATACAGAACTTCCAAAACTAATTGAGGCACAAGCAAATTTAAGTGCAGCAGCTTTGGCAGCAATGGATAAGAAGCTAACAGAGAAAGTTTATATTTTACTGGCACATCAGTGGTCAAGTGTTAAGGAGATAGAGATTGAGTATCTGGAAACATTGACAAAGCTGGAAGTTGGGAATGGTGTGATTGTTCTTGCTAGTTTGCTCACTAGATATTTGGTTAATACAAAGAAGAGTGAACTAGTAGGAAAATTAAAGGTTAGTTTTGTGGAGATTTGTATCAGGTGGATGGGCTAGGTTCTTTAGGTTTATTAATAATATCAATGTGTGTTATTCTACTATTTATTAATTATCCTACTCTGTTAGTAACAGAATAATTAGAAGAAAAGAATAGAAAAATGAACAGTATTTCTCTGCTTTGTTTAAATTTTCTAGTATTCTAGTATTCTAGAGAATTTTTGAAAGTTTGAATTTTCATAATTCTGTAATATTTGAAATTCTAGAATTTTAGAATTGCAAAGAATCTGGTCCCCCCTGGGTCTTCAGAATTCCAAACTAACATTTACTTTCCTTACAGGTAGAAATCATAGACGTTTTTATAAAAGTAGCCATCAGTTGCAAGAAGAAACCCGACTTATACGTCGTTCACAATGCAGTACCTCTCCTCCGTCGAATATCCCACGATGAATTCAAAAACCAATTGCTGCCAGCTTTACAAAAAGCCATGTTAAGAAATCCAGAAATAATTATAGAATCTGTTGGACATATTCTCTCTGGCTTAAGTCTAGACTTAAGCCAATACAGTCAAGAAATAAGCAAAGGACTATTTGCAAACCTCCACTCGAAAGAAGATTTAGTACGAGAAGAAGCTGTAGGAGCTTGTCGTAGACTCGCTCTTCAATGTTCTGACACTACTGCCTTGGAAAATCTATTGTCATCAGTGTTCGCAGTGTTTCATGGTTCCGAAGGGAAGCTCACAGTAACAACTCACAAGATCTCCGTACTCCAAGGTGCCGGAAATCTCAGCTATAACGCTGCATCAGGGAGCAGCGTTCAAAGATTAGCAGAGACAGCCTGCGAGCATTTTATCAAAGTTTTAGAAACCGAAGTCCACGAAAAGACTCTAATCTATGCTTTAGAAATGATGGCATTGTGGTCCAATAAATTCACAAATAATGTTCCAAAGAGTGTAATAGATGCATTTAAAAAAGGTATGACTGCAAAAACTTCCACTGCCTCTGTGCGCACTGCTTACATCAGACTCTTCTTTTCTACGCCCGTGGCTTCGTATTCAGGAATAATTACTCCGTTATTAGTTCAAGCAATTACAAGAGCCATACAACAGTGTGCACAGCCAGCTGCAGTCACTGAAGGCTTAGTCGCTTCTTATTTATTAGTGAAGCTGGTCCTTGCTAATCAAGTGGAGAATGATAAACAAGCTGTATTATGGAACGCCATCGACGAGCAGATATTCTTCTCAGAAAAATTTCTCTCAACCTGTGGCGATGACATTTTGTACCATCTCATGTTATTCTGTGAAAGGCTTATTATAGAATTTGGAGATAGGTTAAACGAGAAAGCTTTGAATGGAGTACACAGAGCAATTGTTACATGTGCAACAGCTCCAAAGTTCAGTACAAGGAAACGTTGCGCTCCACTGATTAAAAAAGTCCTAACGGGTTTGAGTACGTACAAGCCTGCACAGGAATTGTTAATGGAGTTCAATAGATTTTTAGAAAACGTGAAAATTAAATCTGAGAATGATAGAGAGAACAAGGAAGATTCAACCGGGGAAATAACTGGCAGATGTCTTGCGGATGGTTTACTTGCTATTTGCTCAGGTTCTTTTCTGTTTGAAGCCCCTGCGACGCAGATGGCAAGGGATGCATTGATTCCTTCTCACCATCCAGCGATTCTCAAAGCAATGCCAAATCTGTGGTTCAAGATTGTGAAGAACTATAATCTCGTATCAAAAGATTTCCTTTGTTCGATGAACCATGAGATAAAGAAGATGCTTGTACAGAATTACAAGTCTACTCCCAGTTACGAAAATGCTTTAACGAAGGTGATATCAATTATTCCAGACATTATAATGCCTGCGATAGTGTCTAATGTAACAAATAAGCTTGATGATCCGGAAATTCTGAAAGTAACCAAGGATGAATATTTCACTTATCTTACTCCGGAGGGGGAATTGTTCGACAAAAGCGTACTACCAACAAATGATGAGAATGATATTCTTAACTCAATGAACATGAAACGGGAGAGCAAAGTGTATTCATTTAAAGAACAACAGGAGGAGCTCCAGCTGAGGCGAGAGTTATACGAGAAGCGAAAGAAAGAAGGAAAAATAAAGGAACCAAAGTTAACGCCTAAACAGGAAGAAATTCTTAAAACTCAAATGGCGAAGGAAAGCGCAATCCGCAAAAAACTAACAGACCTAAAATTGAAAATAGATAATTCAGTATCTCTAATCAAATGTGCGGTGCTTGGAAATGGTCAAGAATTATCATTACACTTAAAAGACCTTCTTCCATCAATTCTGAAGAATCTAAGGTCATTGTTAGCTGCGCCCGCAATGTCAGAACTCTTCGTCCATCTGAAACAAATCGTAAACATAAATAATAATCCAGTACTAAGTGATTTAGTGGCTCACGTAACTCTGAGGCAACTCCAACCCCAATGTGACTTGAACCCGGCGTGGGAGGAAGAAAACCTTGACAGCGCAGTGAAGAGAACCCTGAACCTCCTCCACGCAACAACGATAAAGCAGAAGAAACTATTCGCTGCGCCGGCGTTTTGCTACATCTTTCCATTCATAAAGAAGACACTGTTAACTTACAAGGACGATAACATGATTGTGCAAGGATTACAAATAATCCAAGAACACGCTAAACAGAGAGGAGCTTCTGATTTCAGAGATACAAGGCATCCGCAGTTACTTCCTCGTAAACACATGTTTGATCTCTTAATGGAGTTGATGGAGATTACAACTGGGAGAGTGCAGACACATGCAGTAGCAACTTTGCTAGATGTAGCTCAGTCTGGTAGCGGTCAGCCAGGCACCGCGCTAGCAACCAGTGAGGATATAAATTCCCTAACAGGAGCCTTACAAAATTCCTTATCCACCATAAGAGATGCAGCTCTGAGAGCTTTAACAGTAGTGCGCCAAGCATTTCCATCAAAGAAGGAACACTGTGAACAATTCTCCTGTCTCATCAGGAGAATATGGATCG